GATGGCAGCAGAAACCTCTTTCCCTCTCCCTTGATGCATCCCTTGTGCTTGGAGCTGGGTGCAAATCTCCAAGCCTGGGCAATGCTGCCAGGCTTCCTCACCCCATCTGTATGTGGCATGTAGCATCTACCAAAGGGCATTGCTTTCTTTTAAAAGCCTTTTGTCTTCACAGACATGCTTAGAGGATAATGGTAGGTATTTCTTTGTCCCTCACCCACTTATTTTCCTTGCACCTGTAAGAGGAGCTCCATCACTATCACAGCTGTATCCTTGCTAATGCAGAAGCTGCCTAAATGGCTACATCAGATCCTGGCTTTAGCATCTCAGCAGCCACATTTCCATTTAATTACACCTGTATCTCTTTAGAAAGTGCTTATATTAAAAACGTGGCTATTTGCTGCTGGCAGACATCTCCTACCCTCACCACAAATGAAAGACAAGGACATTTCTTTTCAAATACTTAAAACAGACAAACTGATCTCAAAGCCTGCCAGGCCCTATTCAGAAGAGGTGTGTGTTAAAGGCACATTTATACATTCAGCAAAATCAGCTTCAGGAGTCCTGGGCATTTGGAGTCATCTCCCAAGCCAGAGACACACTGTGCTGAGCACTCCCACTGTGGGGACACTCGCTGGCTCCTGCTGGTTTCCGGGCAGCAGTGCCCATGAGGCTGAGCCCCTGCCCCGGGCACCAGGAGCAGCTGCTGGAGGGGCTGCCCTCCATGGTCTGGCAGGGTTGGAATGCCCCCAGAAGCCAGGGTGAGGCTGGTGAAGGCCCAGCATGTTTTGGAGGTCTGGATGGTGTGGGAGAGGCAGGTTCAATGGAAAGCTCTTCTGTCCTGCCCAACTCCCTCAGTGCCTTTGCTTTTCCTTTGCTTTCCAGGAAACTCCCTTTCGTCTCAATACAGCACTTCTTGCCTATTGATTTTTTTTTTTTTTAAAGTCCATTCCACTCTTACCTCTTACCTTGGGTGATTAACTACAGGCATCTTGGTTTGGATGAAGGCAGTAATTCTGTCCATAATTCTCATCACTTTTCATAAATAATTCCGTGTATCATGCTGAGGTGTCTGACTCCACACTGTACATCTGGCCTGGGTGGCTGCAGCTGCACTGTGATGTAGGACTGAGGGAAGGGGTCATTGCTTCCCAGCATCAGTGACTGATGGCATTTGTGCAGTTCCCTCCCTTTCCTGAGCCTGCTGCGCTGTGCGCTGCGCCACACCAGAGCACCCACCTTCAGCCTTTCTTGTCTTTTCAGCATCTGTATCTCAGCAGTGTCACCCTTTGGGCAGGATCACCTCTGTTGGACAGGCTGGTGCCCTCAGTAAGATGTTGTGGGATGCACACAAGATGTGGTGTAACTTGCTGTTTTCCTTCTCTCAGATTTCATCTTCCAGAAGGAGCTATTTGCTGTGAGAGACACAGGTGAGCCGAGCAGACCATGGCACGGGTTTTGCGGGTTAGGCCTCTCTTGGGGAGTGCTGTGGGGAGGTCAGTGGAACATGCCTGGGGTACACCATCACCCTGCTCTTGTCCCTGGGGCAGGGCACTGGCTCCATGCTGTGCTGTTCTGGCAGTGAGTGCTGTATGTGCATCCCTCCTGGCTCTGCAGTCCTCTTTCCCCAGCTCTTTGGCTCCCCTTTGTGCCTCTCTGGGCACTCCTGCTTTTCTCCCTGCAACTCATTTGCCTCCTCTACTGCTAAATAGGGACACAAAAAATGCCTCCAATGGACTCCTGGAGTGGCAGAGAGGAGTCCAGGAATGCCAGCAGATTTTTGAGCACTAGTCAACGGCAGTGCTGGCCTGGGAAACTGAGGAAATGCTGCCAGGACAGGCTGACAGGTCTGATATTCTCCCTTTCTGTCCTCACTCTCCTTGCAGATCCCATGCACAACCTCTCTGCTCAGCCCTGGCAGGCAAAGATGGCCAACCTGACCTATGACAACTTCACCCTGGGCAACCACTCCGAGGTGGCTGTGCAGCCTCCCACCAACTACAAGACAGTGGAGCTGGTTTTCATTGCCACTGTCACCGGCTCACTCAGCCTTGTCACCGTGGTGGGGAACATCCTGGTGATGCTCTCCATCAAGGTGAACCGCCAGCTCCAGACTGTCAACAACTATTTCCTCTTCAGCCTGGCCTGCGCAGACCTCATCATCGGGGTCTTCTCCATGAACCTCTACACGGTCTACATCATCAAAGGCTACTGGCCACTGGGGGCCGTGGTGTGCGACCTGTGGCTGGCTCTGGACTATGTGGTGAGCAATGCCTCTGTCATGAACCTGCTCATCATCAGCTTTGACCGGTACTTCTGTGTCACCAAGCCCCTGACGTACCCGGCCAGGAGGACCACCAAGATGGCAGGGCTAATGATCGCGGCCGCGTGGATATTGTCCTTCATTCTCTGGGCCCCTGCCATCTTGTTCTGGCAGTTCATTGTAGGCAAGAGGACAGTCCCTGAGAGGGAATGTTACATCCAGTTCCTCTCCAACCCAGCGGTGACATTTGGCACAGCCATTGCTGCTTTTTACCTGCCCGTGGTCATCATGACGGTGCTGTACATCCATATCTCCCTGGCCAGCAGAAGCAGGGTAAGGAGGCACAAGCCTGAGAGCAGGAAAGAGAGGAAAACCAAGTCCCTCAGATTCCTCAAGGGCCCCATGGTCAAACAGAACAACAATAATTCTCCCAAGAGGGCCGTGGAGGTGAAGGAGGAGGTGAGGAATGGGAAAGTGGATGACCAGCCATCTGCACAGACAGAGGCCACTGGCCATCAGGAGGAGAAGGAGACATCCAATGAGTCCAGCACCGTCAGCATGACCCAGACCACAAAAGACAAGCCCACAGCAGAAGTCTTGCCAGCAGGGCAAGGACAGAGTCCAGCCATCCCCCGGGTGAACCCAACTTCCAAGTGGTCCAAGATTAAGATTGTCACCAAGCAGTCTGGGTCTGAATGTGTCACCGCCATTGAGATCGTGCCAGCTAAGTCAGGTGCCTCTAACCACAACTCCCTGGCCAACAGCCGCCCAGTCAATGTTGCCAGGAAGTTTGCCAGCATCGCCAGGAGCCAGGTACGGAAGAAGCGCCAGATGGCTGCCCGGGAGAAGAAAGTCACCCGCACCATATTTGCCATCCTGCTGGCCTTCATACTCACGTGGGCACCCTACAACGTGATGGTCCTCATTAACACCTTCTGTGAGACCTGCGTGCCCGAAACAGTGTGGTCCATCGGCTACTGGCTCTGCTATGTCAACAGCACCATCAACCCAGCCTGCTATGCCCTCTGCAATGCTACTTTCAAGAAAACCTTCAAGCACCTTCTCATGTGCCAGTACAGGAACATTGGCACAGCCAGATAAACTGGTACTCAGGGACCACTTCAGTATCCTTATGGAAACCCTTCCCTTTGCCTCCTTTGCCAGCAGGGGTTCTTCTGCTCACCACTCACAACAGTGCAGACTGTGCAGTGATTGCAGAGGATGCCCTTCATCCAATGCTGACAAAAATCCAAGGCATTTCTGAGCTACAGGTCCTTCCAGTCACCCTGGGCCTGGGGACTAGCTCAGGGAGCCAGGGAGAAAGCCAGAGGCAAGAGGAGATGTGGTCACCAGGAGCCCTTCCCAGCTCCATGCTCTTCAGATTGGCCAAATGGCATCAGTGTTTCTCCTAAGACTGGATGTACCTTTTTCCCCAGCTGACCATCTCCATGGCATCAGATCTTGTCTGCATGCAGATGGGCTAATGCTGGATGCTTTCCATTGGCTTATAAAGCGTTTATTACCCAAGAAATGAAAAGAAACCAGGGTCAAACATTGCTAGACATCTTGGACCAGGCTGACTCAGGCAGGCTAATGGGGAGTCCTGCTGGCCCAGGCAGGCCCCCTGTGAAGGTAGTCAAGATTGGACCCTAACAGATGTGGCAAGATGCTTCCTTTCCCTTGAGAGTGCCATCAGACATCCTCACCCAGGGTCCTGGGGCAGAATTTTTCCCTGGGCTCTGGCTCTGCTCTCCCCTTCACATCCTTTCTGCCCTCAGACAGCAATTTGCTGGAAAGACAGACAGATAAACCAAGCATTTCACTCCTGGGTAAGGAGTGTGAGACCCAGTTGCCCCCGACAATGATGGAAACTAAAACTGGAAAGAAAAGCCCTGGTGTGGTGCAGGACTTCGTTCCACAGCCCTGGGGGAATGGGGACCCTGAGTGGTGGGCAGCAGTGACTGTGAAAATAACTGTCCTTGGGAGAGACAGGGGGGACCTGGGGGTCTCAGAAGGGTGGGAAGAGGGTCTGCAGTGTGGCCAAGGGGCCCCGTGTCTCATCTGGGCCGTGAGCAGGTCCCCGCTCTCCCTGCGTGGGAGGGGGGGAGTGGGTGTGGGAGGCCTAATGCATGGCTCTGGAGGCAGGAGAGGATGACGGTGGCCTCCAGCCCCCTCGTGCCCTGAGTGCAGGGGGCTCCTGCAGGGAGGCCAAAGGAGCTGGTTGCTGAGCTTTGTTCATGGATGTAACGCTGTCACGGGTGTTGTTGCAGGGCCCTCAGCATGCGGGCTCCAGCCAGCGCCTCCAGCCTCCTCCCAGCCACCCCTGTGTGCAGCCCAGAGCGCCCTGGGGCGGCTCCCCAGCTTCTCCCAAAGCCGGGTGCAAGCCTTCTCCTTGCAGCCAGGTGCAGGCAAGGGACGGGATGGGGCCGCTCTAGCACTGCAAACTCTGTGTCCGTATGTCCTTCCTGTCCTCATGCCAGGGTGCAACCTGCAGAAAGGCTGCTCCAGCCCGGATGGGAGCCCCTCCATCACTGCCTTTAGGGGTACCCAAAATGCCTGGTGGGTTTCTGGGTATTTTTAAACGGTTACAACTGCAGCCCAACACACCCCAAGACAAATAAAGACCTTGGACCAGGAAACTAATGTCCATGGTGCGAGGAATGAATGAGTCATCACCCGGGTGGCTCCTTCCCTGCTTCCCAGTGTCACCCACTGCTGACATTTCCTGTAGCCCATCCCTTCTGCCAAGAGTAAGGGGTGGCAACCAGAAGGTTGTTGCAAAGAGGCTGGTGCTTTGTCCAGGACCATGTGCATGTGGCACCCAGGCCAGCTGCATGGTAACTTCACTGCTGGTGCCAGTGGGGTCAGCAAAACTGGGGTTTGCTGGGGTTTCCAGCACAGCAGCACCTTGTGGGGACAACAGGGGAATTCTGATACTTTTTTAAAAAAGATTTTTATTGGAAAAGAAAAAGAAAAATTCCAAAAGGAGAGCTCCCACCCAGCATTGGCGTTGGCATGGCAAAGGCAGAGGGACTGCAGCCTCAGCATGGACACACATGAGAGGAGACACAGTTGTTTCTCAGGGTGATGGTTGTGTTTTCCTCAGCTGCTGTGGGTAAGTCATGCCCCAGCCAAAGGGATGCTGAAATAAATCCCCTGAGGTGAGTGCAGTCCTTGAGTGAGAAGCTTCAGTGATGGGGGTACTCAGGCATTCAACAGCCAGCCCTTCCCTCTGGCCCTGGTACCTGGTGGAGGAGCAAGGAGGCTCCTGGGCTTGCAAAAGTATGTGCTAAAGGCAACTCATTTGTGCTGGAGGGTGGAAAAATGTGTGTTCCATCCCATCTCTCTGAGCACATCCCAGTGAACCCCAACAGCAGCCCAGAGTAGGTGAGCAGGATGCACAGGTAGTGCCCATGGGGCAGCAAGGAAGGAGGCAGCCTATCCTGCAGGGTGGGTGGGTTTGCTCTCTACAACACTAATGATTAAAACAAGGCATCTCAGTGAAAGAGGAGGTCATGGAAAGGAGTAAGGAGAGGAGGAGGAAGACTGTAGTGTGGGCCAGCTACAATTGGACATCCAGTCCTGTAGACACCGTGTTGAGGGGCTGATGAGGACGCTGGTTTCCTGCTCTAGTCCTTCCCCTTGCCCTTCTTTGCTGCATTCAAGAAGCACAGGAGACAAAAGTTAGTGCATGTGCTGGCAGCTCACAGTCCCCCAGACGCTGCTGTGGTAGAAATGTAGCCAGCATGGCTGGCTGAGCACAGCGCAGTGGCTGTGTCCCTGCAGGCAGCCTCCTTTTGTACCAGTCCTAGTGAGGAGAGCAGGGAATCCCCATCCCACCAAAGATGGCAGTGGTTTGTGGGGGGAACACGGTTTTTCCTAGTAGCACCTCCCACCCTGCCAGCAGCTGGACTTCACAGTGCAAAGGAAAGAGCATCCAGCAAAGCCAACCCCAATAGGCCAAGGTACCTCTGAAAAACCCCTGGGCAGGATTGCCACAGGACCCTTCTGGGGACACGAGTGGTGGGAACTGACCTTTGGACTTCGACTTGATCTTGGAGGAGCAGGGCTTGGTCACATAGACAGTCTCCTCACACTGGGCGTTGTACAGGGCCTTCTTCAGGATTCCGGAGCGAGTCTTCAGGCCAGTCTGAGCACTGCAGCCTCCCCAGCTCTCAAATTTGTACTTGCAGTCAGCTGGATGAGTGGGAGAGGCATCAGAACTAGCCAGGACCTGGTGGGACATTAGCCCTGGTCACCCAGCACAGGGTGGTCCCCACCTCCATGTACTCACCTCCAAATTTCTTCTTCCAGTTGCAGGGGATCTTGCACTTGAGCTTCTTACTCTCACCTTTGCAAGTTCCCTCGCGGTAGCCCAGGCCACAGTCCTTACTGTTGGGAACACAGGGTCCCCAGCGCCAGTCCTCGCACTTAGAGCCATCCTTCTTTGTCTTTTCTGTGCGGAAAAGTGGAGTGGAGTGGGTGCTCTCTGCAGGAACAGGGGAGAATGCCCCACTCTGCCCCACTGCCCCCCTGCCCCAGGCTGCCCCTCACCTTTCTTGTTCTTGCCAGCCTCAGCGGTGGCGGCCACCAGGATCAGCACCAGGAGGAGGAAGAGACTCCGAACCTGCATCCTGCCTGTGGAGGAAGGAGAGAACTGGGTGGGTTGGAGGCTGGGGTGCAATGTGGTGTCGAGGAGGGGCATGGTGGGCTGTGGGCAGCCTGTATAAGGCAGGAGTAGCACACACTCACCTACATGCCTGTGTACACCCCTGTGCCCTGCTTGGTGCCACCCAGTAGAATATGTTCACTAATTGCAACAGGAAGATTAATTGTGTACCTCAACAACCGCCTCCCACCAGGGAGCTGCAGGGCTGAGAGATTGTTCCCACCCCTGCAGCCACCCCAATGTCCTGTATGTGGTCGAAATGCTCTCCATGGGAACCCCACAGCCCACACAGCATCTGGGGAAGGACATACAGTTGCCAGCCCTTACCCTCATATTTCTCTGTGAATCCTTTATTCATAACCCAGCAGGCTGCTGCCCCATATCAAAGAGCCTTGGGGCCAGGGAACACAGCTCCCACAGTACCTTACTCCAGTTCCAGAGGATGCCAGAGAGAAGGAAAAAAGCCCGGGAAAACAAACCTGCTTTCATGAGAGGTCTGAAAGTTATATCAGTGGATTAAACACCAAAAAAAAAGCACCTATCAATGTGGGAGATCATTGGAGGGATGGACCCTGCTGCCCATGCCACCCATGCATGCAGGGGGTGAGCAGGTGTGCACACACCTGGGAGCAGGTTGGGGACAAGGGCGCACACACATAAGGGTTCTGCTCTGGGGATCGAGCCCTGTCCTCCTGCCCCGGTGGCCTTGGACCATGTGACGGCTCCTCTCTGGCTGCCACCACAAGACTCTGAGGGATGGTGCTGCCCACACTGGGCTCCCAGATCCTGCTCTCAGTGGGAACAGGAGTGCAGGCATGCAGACCAGCATTTGAAATCTGGAGACGCCATTCCTGTTCCCCCAAAGCCTTCTAAGATGCCACCCATATCTGTGTGGCAGCAGCCATCCAGAAAATACACGGCACCTGCCCTGACTCTGTGATGGGCTTTGCAGAACTGGGCTGTAGAGGACAGGATGAACCACAGGCCCCAGGGGACATCAAGGAAGGGAAGACCCCGGGGTCAGCATTTGATCCCTCCCCTGGGCTCCCTGGGCAGCATGCCAGAGAGAGCAGCATCCCACATTACTCAGGGTCCAGTGCATTCACCTTTCATGCATCCACCGCCAAGCTACCAGCTTTGCTCTGCATTGAACTGTCACAGGGAATTACACAGAGTGGCTGGCTGAGGGCACAGTCGTGGGGCTGAGATCTGCCTTCCCCCTCACCCAGCCCGGCTGGGAGCCATCCTGCCAAGCACAGCACAGCTCAGCTCTGCTCTCACCCATCTGCCTTCAAAGGGGACAAGGGCTCAGCCAAGATAGGCTGGTTACAGATGACAAGGCTGGAGCTGAGCTGACTTACACACATGGCGGTCCCACTTTCTGCAGCGGCTCTTAGGGGGTAGCTCATCTGACATCCATATTATTCACACCATCACCCTGATTTCACGTGTTCTGTTAACTTCTCCCATACTTTGCTGCTGAGCATTTCCCTGTGCTCCTTGCACCTACCTCCCATCCCTCCCACTAACCTTCTGCTCAGGCCCTTCTGACATGGTCTTCTGCAGGGCAGACAGCCACAGCTGCTGTGCTCATCCCCGTCTCACCTCCAGGCATGGACTCCCTCTGTTTGCCACGGGCACAGTGGGGCCCTGCCCATATAAATGGAGGGATGCCAGAAGGATACCCTCTGAGGGGGTGACCAGCCACAGCCCCAGCAACCCCTGAATTTGCTCCCAGGCTCAGACCAGCACGTCACCTTCCCCAGGCAAAGGTTTGCAGGGACCTTCAGTCGTGGCTCATCCTAAAGCATTCAGAAGGAAAAGGGAGTGCAGTTTTCCAACTGGTTTTCCAAACAGCCAGGCAAACAAGAGTTTTTTCTGGCTGGGCTTACAGCACCTTCAGGCATGCTCGCACAGCCCTACTCCTCCTGCGTCCCTGCGGGGCCCTGGCTTCTCTCCTCCTCAGATGCTGGCTGGCTCTCATGTAACATCAGCCTCTGTTCTCCCTTCCCCCTACTCCAGCTGCTCTGGGTTTTTATGATCTAGATTAGCTCTAAAAAGAAAAATTAAATCACCTGGTGAAGCTGAAGCTCTAAAAAGAAAAATCACCTGGTGAAGCTGAAGCAGAGCTCAAATACCCACTATTGCAATGGGAAAGCTTGGACCTCTCTCCGGACACCGTTCCAGGGCAGGTAGTGCCATCGACTTCTCCTAACATCACACGGCCCACACATCCTCCGCAGCTCCTGATCCCGCAATGCTGACCCCATGCGCTCCCGGGAACGGAGAGGGGCCGGGCTGTCCCCCCCTCACAGCCCTTGTCCAGAAGTGGGACCTCTCGGCTCGGCTCAAATTGCAGCTGGCTCTGGCGGTGGTGGGCGCAGCGCTGCTGTCCTCCCTCTGCGGGCTGAGCTGCTTCCCAGCCTCCGGGCAGGCAGCCCGGCACCCGAGGAGCCAGCCCAGCGCCCGGGAGCCCGTGGCCTGGAGCGACAAGCACCGCCACAGTAGGAAGTTCCCTGCTGCCTGGAAAAGGGACACCGAGCGTGTGGCCGTGAGCCAAGGCGTTGGCACGGCCGGGAGGCTTTCCTAGAGGTGCTGAGGGAAGCACGGGGGCTGTGGGGCTCTCCAGCAGGCGGCCTCACCTTCCCCTCGCTGTGAAGAGAAGGTGCTCCAAGGGAAAAGTGTTTTGCCCCTGCGCTGAGGGCAGAGAGAGGAGCAGGCAGCGCCCTTCCGCACTCTGCCCTCTGCTCCCTCCTCAGGGTAGATGCTGTGCCCAGAGCCCCGTAGAGCCTTTCCCTCGCCCTCCGGAGAGGCGGGCGGTGGTCGATCCCTGCTCCGGGGCAGCTCCCCGGGCTCCGATCGGAGGATCTCCACCAGCTGAGTTCTCCCCGAACCAGTGTGGGGTGCTTCCCCAGAGGAATGGGAGGGGGGGGTGGTAGGATGCCGGGCCACTGACTCAACTCGTCTGCTCTCCAGGAGCCCTGACTCCCTACCGAACTCCTTCCTTCTGCATCTCCAGGCTCTTCCGTGGCTCCTCTCAGACCATCCCGCACCGGGGGGGCACCGCCCCCCGTCCTTCGGCCCCAATTGCCCTTTTCTGCAGGTCCTCCCCAGCCGGAGCCTATCCCCCACCCCGGCAAAGCCCCTTCCCACTCCGGAGAGCCCTCAGCCTGGATGACTGCCGCCTCCCTGGGGAGGTGACGGGCGGTCGTCGCTCGCCTCGCCCGGGGCGCCCATCTCGGTGGGGCCCGACCCCGAGAGCTGTGTGTGTGTGCGGGGCCGCACTCACCTGCGGAGCGGAGGGCGCGGAGCTGCTGCCTTTGTGTGGCGGCCGCGTGAGGAGCCCCGCGCGGCGCACAGCGGCCCCTGACGTCGGGCTCGGCTGGCAGCAAAAAGGTGGGTTTTTAGCCCAAAACTTTTGCAAGCTCCTCCTCTGCCCCCCGGCAGGCACAAAGGCGGGCGGCGGAGGGGCGGCCCGGGGGCAGGCTGGCCCCTCGGCCGCTGGGGCGGGGGCAGCCGGGGCCCCTCGGGCGGGGGCGAGCTGGGCCCGGGCAGCGTCAGGTCCCGTGGGGCACGGCTCCTGTCCCTTGTCCCCTCTCATCTTCCTGCTGTGCTCTCCAACCCGTACGCGGTGCGGTACCAGGGAACCCGTGCGGGTTCAGGTGACCATGCACCCCAACATCAACGAGTGGCCAAGGGTGCACAGCTGAACAGCCGAGCAGCGTCTCCCCTGGGGGCTGCTGCTCTGAGTTCCGATGGAAGCTGGCCCCGGGGACATCCCCGCACCTCGGGGGAGTAAAGGGAACCACCCTGTGTCTCTACCAGCGCCGTGGATGCCTCCTCCATTCAGGCCACTGGCATCAATGGACAGACTTTTTGTAATCTCTGCCCTTTTCACCCTTCTCTGCTTGCTCTGCCCCTCGTGGGAAGTTGCCAGAAAAAGGGTACATCACTTACATACTGTCCCAAGCATCTCCCCAGTTCCGTCCCTTGTGACCCACCTGCCTGTCCCCAGCTCAGACATGCTGCAGCCCTTGGACCAAGCAGTGGTATCTGACTGCTGGTGGGGGATGAAAAGGACTGTGCAGATGTGACCGCTCCTTTCCCCACCCACCACCTTTTCTTGGGAGGTGAGCAAGGCAGCAGCAAAGCCAATTCCTTTTTGGAGTTAGAAGCCAGAAAGGAGAGTGTCATTCAAGAAAAATGGGGCTCTGGTAGGGAATGGAGTAATTTCTCCACCTCTTATCCTGGAAGAAGTCTGCTGAGAACAGGGCTGCCACAGGTGGGGTTGCAGGGCGGGGCTGTTTTTTATGAGCTGCTTCGAAACCAGGAATCACTTTCCAAGAGACTGCCAGCAGTTTCCTAAACATCTGCAGAGGTTTTGAGGAGAGCTGGTAAATGTGGGAACATGTAATCTCCCGTTCCTGCTGCACACACAGCAACAGGTACTGCTCTGTGTAGTGAGGGATCTGGAGACGCCAGGCTGTAGGTTTGAGCCCAGGATGCAGAAATAGATCCTGATAGCTGGGCAGGTACTATAGCCAGTAACCTCCCACCACTGCTAGGCCTTTAAACTCAACCTGAAGAAAGCTGCTGAGACAAACTTCAGTGTACAAAAGAACCCAGGTGTACATCAGGTTTGCACGTCTGAACCAGGAGACTGCAATGGGCAAAGCAAGACCTAAAGAAATGTAAATGTTAAAGAACTAGGTGCGGCGCAAGCACTGCTGCTTCTCTTCAGTTGTTTCTGGCCAGGAGCTGAAGATCTCGCTGGAGTCCCCAGGGCACAGCAGCATAAGGTACAGTGAAGCCCTGTGTGGATTTTCACTCGTTCCAGGGGACCAGAAGACAAGTGCTAGCTATGTGAGAGAGCAGAGATGCATTGGTGCACATCATTCAGCAGTGGCTGTGCTTGGTCCCTTTGGGCTCCTTCCTCAGCTCAAATTAGCAGCAAAAGGCCTTGACTGCAGCAAAGAGGCCTCATACTGAGGAAAGGAGGAAAAAAGAGGGAGTGTGACCAACCCAGGTGCATTTCCCTGCAATTGGTTAACTTGAGCTTTTTAACTTGAGCTCTTAAAATGTCACAGTCTAATTCATTGCATATCAGCTCTGCATTTTCCATGTCTGGTCAAAGCCTGGTCCTTCGGGAACTGGTAGTGGATGTTGCTGCAGTATCAGTGCAGGGATGCAGCCATGCATGGGAGAGGAACGATCTTTTCCTTGTTGAGGTGTATGCTAGGTAATCATCAACAGGGCCCACAGCCGTCACCCTAGGTCTGCTTAGCTGGGGCTGGGCTTGCATTGCTTTCTCCAGCCTGCACACATGCCTACACCCCAGGTGTGCTTCCATCCCACAGGAGGGCAGACAGACCTCTGAAGCCCCAGCACCTGACTGAAAAGGAGAAAGAGGAGATGTTGACACCCTTTGGAGAGAAGGGCAGGACTCTGCCCCAAATGTACACTGCCCCTCTTCCAACACTCCTCATCACAGTGATCGCATAGCAGGACTGCTTTTCTTCCCCACGGTATATTTGACACTGGGGCGGCTGGAAGACTCCAATCACCATGGTTACTGACAGCCTCCCTGCTGAGATGTGGGCCAATTGCCAGCATGCTGGGGTCTGGGCACTGAAGCAGAGCGGGCCCACTCCTCCCAGTTCCACGTACACCTGGTCCCTGGGGAGGCCAGGACAATTTGGTGTGCCTTACACCTGCTACTGATCCTCACTATTAGCTCTGGGCAGGAGCTGAAGTTTGAAGACCATGAAAGAGAGGCACAGTGGGGGTGGAAGGCACAATGCAGGCAGGGAAGGCGGCTGCTTCTCCGGGCAGAGAGGGGCTGGCAGGAGCACTAGGCAGGCTGCCAAACTGCCCCGAGAAATATAGGTCTGAGTATAGCTCCTCATCACCCACTGGCTCCATCACCAGCACACCACTGGCCACTCAAATTACCTCCTTTTCCAAGGAAAACTCCACAGGATAGAAGTGCGTCGGCCACAGTCATCCTTATGAGTCTGAGTCTGGAAGCAGAAGTGTCCCTAATCCTCTGCTTTTGTAACCAGAGAGCAGTCCTTCCAGCAGAGTGGCAGAGATAATCCCTGCTCTCACTGCTCAGCACTGGAGGCAAAAGCACAAGACTCCCTGCTGGAGCTGGAAATGAATAGGAAGAGCCCCTGGCAGGCTCATCTCCCGCAGAGCAGCGTGGCTGGGGACAGCTCACCACAAAAAAAGGCCAGCAAACATTTTGAAACTGGAGGCTGGATGGTGCTGCAGTATCCACTGACAGCTGTGGCAGCTGCTGGGGCTGCTGCCTTTGCCCCAAGGAGCAATAGCAGGCTGCTGACTCACACTTCCAAGGCCTTCGGGATCACTTGGGAAGGCAGCGCACTTTCTACTTTTCCCACATTATACTGAGCGTTGATGTATGATGCAGAATGGAGGAGAAGGTCCCTCAGGACAAAGAGCCTGTGTCTAGCAACAGTCCCAGAAGGATGCTGTGCTAGGAAGTGAGCAAGGACACGGGCCAGCAGGGAAGTCCCAAAAGTACCCCCAAGTTTGGACAGGGGCAGAGGCCTTGGGATCCAACCTTGTCTGTGCCATGCAGGGCATCCGTTGTGCAGTGCCTGCTGCAACCTTGCAGATGCAGCAAGGAGACAGGAACTAAAACATCAATCTCTTTATTACAATGGCAAGAAACAACAACATCCAAACAGTCGAAGTTGAAAAGCAATAGGAATACAGGCTCATGCCAGGCCCTGGGCCAGCTGGAGCCAGCACCCTCACATAATTACAAAAATACAATCCTACAACAGTGTCTAAGAAACACAGACCCAGGTATTGCACAGAACCCCTGCCCTTAGGGAGCAGGGAAACCAACACCCCCTCCTTCTTCACCAAAATATAAGCAGGCTTGGAATTGCACAGCAACTCAGCTCACAGGTGCATGGAGGGGCTAGGCAGGGAGGGGGACAGTGTGTCTCTCAACTACCTGTACAAAAAACTATAAAGGAGAAAGGGAAAAGCTGAGGCTTAAATGCCTCTGGGCCAAGTTGGGCATCCTGTGGTGTGGACCTCTGAGAAGTGACAGTGCCTTGTCTATTAGTGGCCTGCCAGCAGTGCTGCTGAGAACTCCAGGCACTTCTGGAGTGTCCCAGTTGTCAATGCATTAGTACACTATCATTATTATTTGCCAACACTGACACTGGCCCCTGGGCACCCTGCACTGCCCTGTGCCTCTGCTCCCCAGTACAGCATCCCCATCCTTCAAGGAAACCCTGCCCCCGGACAAAAAGTCGGAAGGGTATTCTGGTTCCCTACAGTGTCCTCATACCCTTTTCTTGGTACTTGGAGGGAGTCAAACAGTGCCACCCAGCATGACCCAGTGGGCACAGCTGCATGTCAGTGCAGAGGGACTGCACAGACCTCACATGGCAGCAGCAGTATCCTCTCCTAGAGCAAAGATGTGAACAGCAACTCCCTTCAAAACCACTGCCCACCCAAAAGTGCCAAGCAGGTCTGCTAGGCTCAGAGCCATCAGCTTTCCTCCTCTGTGGGCACCTCCTGGTCTCAGAGACTCAGTTCTGCAAAAGCCTTGCTTAAGGCCTGGCTTGATGTCTTGGCATCAAGTGCTCACAGCATCAACAGGGGAGATGGATTGTGGTGCCTCATGCCCCATGGCAGGCGATTTGTGAAACTCCATCCCACTGTAGGCATGACTCAGGGCTAGGAGCCCTGATGGTTCCTGGGAATCCAAATCCTTCTTTCTACTAAAACTGGAGAGGGCGGGTTCATGGTCTACCCAGGTGGGTTGGTCAGCTCCCTGCAAAGCCCTGTGCCTAGTCTGGGGAATAGCAGGAGTCAGCCTAAGAGGATGCATGTTGCCAGGTTGGGGGGAAGGAGGGGATCCCTGAGAGCAGCACTGACCCCAGCACTGCCCATCCAGCCTCGTGCAAAGTCTAGCATTGAGGGGGAAACCCAAGCAAGGAGGGCAGCTGAATCTAACTCAGCACTTGGGAAATACAACAGACATCACAGCTGCCACTGCACCAGCTGAGTGCAGCTCTCCACCATCCTGCAGCTGGCTCACAAAGAGATGCTCAGCAGAGTGGGTGTGCAAACTGTTCCACCCAGCCCCGTGGAGAGAAGCGTGGTGAGAGGGTTTGGTAGCCTTCCTCCATGCCATCCCAGCCCTGAGTCAGACTGCTGACTGAGAACTAAAGGTCCATCAGGAGAGCACCTGCTGCTCTACTTCCAGCTGCACCAGACCCAGATACTCTGAGGAAAGTCTGGATGCACAAGTGACTTCCCTCCTGCTGCAGAAGGCTCTGGGTAGGGCAACACAGAGACCTGGTGCAGCCCCAGGAGGGAGAAGAAAGCAGGGCCAGTAAGTTGTGGTGCTTCCTTTGGGGCAGTCTGTGGCTCACAGCCTCTGCAGCCTGTGCCTCCCACAGCTGTGCCAGACAGGAGAGGAGGAACAGGACACAAACCTAGCCAAGCACCTAAAAGAGGGGCACTGCCAGCAGAGAGAAGGACTGAGCAATGATATCCCATAAGGATTATAGGTAGGAGCCTGTGGAGGGGGCACTGGAATTACTCCCATGAACAAGGGTGACTGGAGGCTTCAGCCTGGCCTGCTCCAACATGGCTGGAGGATAGAGCCCACCTAGGGCAGGGAATGTGATGAATGAGAGGTGAAGGGCACACACAAAGAATCAGGATTCAAGTCTGAAATATCCATTGTCCTCATAAACAGAGTTCCAGCCCACCTGGGGCAGAGCTCTTCTGTGTCCATCTCCAGGGAGCAGGCTGGCATCTGGGGAGGGTTGGGCCAGATACATCTCTGCAGTTGGCATTGTACTCTTCTCATCCTGAAAGAGCTGGCTCGGGCTAAGGCACGCCAAGCACTACACAGCTGTCTCCTGGTCCTCCCGCTGGATCATCTGGTAGTGCTGTCGGTTCTCGAGGTAGGCAGCTAAGTCGGGGTCGTTGGCCTTCTCAGCACGGTGCTTCGGGGTGTCTCCCTGCGCAGGGGAGGCGACAAGTCAAGAGCGCCGAAAGCTGCCTAAAGGCTGCTTTGGCACCCAAGGGCGTCCCCATTCCCCCTGTGGCTGGGTCCAGCAGAGCCTGCAGCCAAACCCCAAGTCAGGTGGCAGCCAAATGTCCATGTACTCACCATGGGAGCAAAGTGTGCTCCTGAGGAGCATGACTACTGCAGGCCTGGGAGCTGTCCCCTGAAGGGCCATCAGCTCCAGGCCTGGGCTAGGACACGACTGACCCTGGGCAACACAAGTCACCCAAGAAGAGATAAAGGCTAGTCCCCCTGACCGGCTCTTCCCCTGTGCTGGGGAGGCAGGCGGGAAAGGGTGAGGAATGAGGGGTATGTCTGGGGAATGCCCAAGCATACCAACCCCCCTTCCCTCTCACAGCCTGGCTAGCGTGCTCCAGCTCCCGAAGGAGGATCACATTTCACCCGCTTATTGCAGCCATCTGGATTGTGTCCACTAATGAACTCCCGCACTCCATAAAAAGCAAATCTGTTAACAACTCCCAGTTCTGTCTTCTCTCCCACTTCCCTCCCCCTGCTCCTTGCTCCACCTCTCCAAGTGCCCAGGCTCTGCTGTGCCACTGAGAAAGGCCACAGAAACCTGGCACTCTGCCGCTGCCATTGAAAACCAGCCCTGGAAGGGATACCCATCCTGCCCAGCTCATCCCCTGGTGCACAGCAGGGCACAGACAGCTGCAGCAGTGTGCCAGGGCCTCTGAGCAGCCCCCAGCTATATTTCTCCATCAGGAACAATGGTCAGACATGCAGAGTCCTCCGCTGGGCCTGGATGTGGCTGTGCACAAAAGCCCATCCATCCATGTGTGGCTGCAGAGAGGTATCATGCAGCAAGAAATATTCTTGGGATGTGCACCCCAAGACTGGGCACACCCCGTGGTCCTGCACACAACCTCCAGCAGCCACACCATCAGGGGATGGAGATCACTCAGTGCTTTGGTGCAGGCTCTCCTTGATGGCCCCCTCCCCACATCCCCTGAATGCAATCACTCATTTAACAGAGGACGAATTAAGCTTCTTTCCTGTTCCCCTGCAGAAGCCCCTCTGCATCACTGCCTGCCTGCAGCCTGAAACCGGAGCTGCCAGGGCCTCCCTGCCCGGCTGGGCTGAGGCACTCCAACTGATAAGGCTCAGCCTCCCTCACCACTGCAGAGCAGGATCAGTCTGCTCCAAAGCCTTGCTACAGGTCTGCTGCTAGGGTTTCTAATGAGGTGGATCCTGCCTGTGCAGGCAGGCTGTGACCCTGACCCCTGAGAGGTCAGTGCAGCAGCACAGCGGGGTCCCCAGGCAGCCACAAACCCGACATGCGACATGCTTTTGCACAGGCACGTGCAAACCCATTCCCTGGGGCAGCCGCATGCCTGAGCAAGGCTCCCTTTTGAGCTGGCAGGCTGGGGGCTGTTCCTCTCCTTCAGGAAAATGATGAGGCTGGGAACAGAGAGGGGCCATGCACCCCAAACTGCCCTCTCCTCTTGTCTCTGCCAGCTGAGTCTCCATTTAGGCCAGTCCCACTCTGGGCACTGTGCAAGGCCTAAGCCTTAGACAGGACCAAGGAAGAGAGATGGGGAGCCAGAGTATCTGTACTGCATTCTCCTGGCAGCTGGCAAACAGGAATGTGCATTGTCTAAATCAAACCCCAAGCTTCACCACCACCAGCACCCCTCAACTGGGCTCCTAATGGGTGTCCCAGACCCACAGATTGCACCTTCTTGGCTTGTTCTACATCACCTCTGCTACAGCCTATCACTACAAGCCTCCACCAGAGAGATCTGACCACATCCTCTCTGCCGTATGCCAGCCCTGGGAATCTCCTGTACCAAAATATGGCCCCAAGCCCTCCCCTTTTGCATCTCTTCTGCCAGGGCTGGCACAATTCCCTGACACTAAGGCACAGCTCAATTAACTCAGCATGTGAGGGAAAGTGCTGCAACTGCTTGCTCCTGCTCCCCACAGGCTGGCTTCACCCACCAAGAGGAGCTCCCAGATCCCCCATCATGACTGCCGGTGGGGGAGAGCATTGGAGTCCTGCAGCTGGGAGGGAGAATGTCCTTGCTCTAACCCCTGAGGGTGGGAAGGGGGAGTCGGGGATGAGACATTCCAGCCCCTTGCTGCTAATTTAATAAAACAACAGGGAGAGAAGCACTAGGAGAAGAGGAATTTAACCCCTCTGTAGCTGGGCTCTACTGGACAAGCATAGGTACTCCATGTCAGCTCCTCTCTGACTGGCAAACACCTCACCCAAATCACCCCTGCTCTGCTCCCCTGCTGGTTCTGCTCCTTGCCAGCCCTCTGGTCACCCTAGAAAGCCCCACTGCCACTGTTCCCACTGTCACCTGCAGGTCTGTCTTCATGAGCGAGGCCCCAGCCTCCACGATGTAGTGGCAGATAGTGCGCTGGCGTAAGGCTGCAGCCTGGTGCAAGCTGGTTTCACCGCTGAGAAGGAGAAAGCAGGAGATGTGAGATGTCCCCCTGAACAGGGACAATCAGCACATGCAGGTGGCAGCAAGGGACAGAGCAATTCAGCGGCAGCAGCAGCTGATGGTAAGTTGTGTGTTTGTCCAGGCAGAGGAGGGGCTGCTACTCAGGGGCAGTCTGTCCAAAATGGACTGGCAATCATGGCTGGCAATTAGAACAAGGGCAGCTGAAGTGCCCCTATAACTGGACACTTCACAGAGGGTCTGGCCAACAAGTAATGCAAGCCAGCAGCGACTTACTTCTCCTCCTCTGTGGCATCAAGGATCTCTGAAGGAGCTGTGGAAAGAAAGAGTGCAGGTGAGTGAGACCTGGCTCTGGGGCAGAGACAGACCTGGCAGAGACAGACCTGCCCACTCCCTGGTCACAGTCTGCATCATTCCATAGGGGCTGCTATTTTCATGCTGCCTGCAAAAGTCTTAGCTTCAAAGAACTCAGATCAGCAATGGCATTTGAGCCCAGCTGATCCCAGGAAAGAAGAAGTGGTTGTGGACTCACTACAGAGAAATATCTAAATAAAAGTAAAGCTGTCTGTATTTCAGTGGGAACTGCCAAAAACAACTGGTCAGCTGCCCTGAAGGCAGAAGCAAGACACTGAGAAATGTTTCCCAGAGACATGCTGATCCCTGCCAGGATGCAGCAATAGCCATAAGGACACCCCAGTACTGGCAGACAGAAGCCAGGAAAAGCCCATACACCAGAAGGATGACGTAGCAAACCCAGAGGGAAGGGATCTAAGCCCAGGACCACTCCCTCTGAGCAGAGGGTTGATTTTTTTTTGCTGCCAGGCTCCTTTGCTAAGAGTGGCACTCTGACTCCAGCTCACCATTCTCGATGATGTATTTGACGATGTCCTTGCTTCCTGATTTGACAGCATGGTGGAGGACAGTCTGGCCCGAGGAATCTCGCACCATCAGGTCTCTTCCAGCTTGGTGCAGCTCTTGGAACTACAGGATTGTCAGATTGCTCAGGATGAGTTGCATTTCCCAGCTCCAAGCCCCAGCATTATGTGCCTGGAGTGTCTGACAGGTTGTGTGGATACTTGCTGCTGGTGGGAAGCTTTGGCTAGCTCAGCCATGTTACCAAGTCCCTTCCCTTCTCCTCCCTTCCCTTTGTGTCTCCCAGGAGATGAACCAGAAGAGCTCCTTGCCGAAGCCTGCCTGGTTTCTAGCCACCACTCCTGAAGGAAGGCCTTTGACAGGCACTGCTCCAGGGCAACTGGGGAGCACAGCTGGCAGGGCTTCTCTTAACCCAAGGGGCACACCAGCCCAGGAGCCAGCCTTGGCTGCTCATTGCACCAGGCTGCTGGAGGACTTACCTTGCTGAAGTTGCCACTCTTGGCAGCTTCTATCAGAAGGTCATCTGCAAAGAGAGATGTGTCAGGGTCAGAAAAGTCAATCTGGAACACTGCTTATCTAATCTTGGAGACAAGAGCTGGGCATCAGAGGCGTGGAGCAGGAGCACAAGCTCCTCCAGGGATTAACCCTTTGGTCAGACTGCATTTACATGGCTTCTCCACCTTCAGGAATGTAAGGAACAAGCCAGGGAAAGGAAACAGACACCACGTAGCTAGGGGTGCAGCCACATCTCAGCCCCAGGGAGATGCAGCAGGAGTAGTCTCTGCCCTTGGGCAGGATAACTTGTGATGAAAATGGGGAGCAGGTCTCCTGGGCATCAGCCAGCAGCCAAGCTGCTTCTCACCAATGACTCACTCACACCTCCAGGCTCCAATCAAGTTTCAGGAAACTCTTTCCATTTGTTCATCTTGGTGAGGCCCCTGATCTAGTGCTCCCACCTCCTCAGGGAGAGGCAGAGACAGCCTCCCAACCCAGTCCACAACGCTCAGCCCTGCAGGTGGGGGATTAACCCCTTGCCACATAATTTCCCGCAAGCTGGAGCTGGGAAGGCCCCTGGCTGGGCCACTCCACAAATCACTGTCAAGTCTCTTGTGCTCACCTCTGGGTCACCTGCCTGCAGGGCTCCATGTTTCAGAACACATGGAACAATAGGGCTCTTCCCTGCTCACCAGGGAAAGGATAGGCCAAAAAAACCCATGGCAGGAAAGCAAAAGTGCAACACAAGAGGGGGTATGACCAGGGGTAGGACTCCACTCACCTTTATGTGGAAGGCAGTGCTCAGGCTCAGCGCTGGAAGGGAAGAAGAGAAAGTGTAACTAACCCTGCCAGTCCGGGCAGCAGATGGCCCTAATGGGCATGCCACCATTAGAGGGATGGAGAAACCTGCCTGTAGCACTCCTTCCCTGATCTGGGTTCTTCCCCTTCCCCATTCCCATTTCCACTGCTGCTCCCGATGCCATTGCTCCTCCATACTCATCACTGGCCTTGGTTTGGCTGAGAGACCTTTGTCCTCTGCTCCTCCATACTCATCACTGGCCTTGGTTTGGCTGAGAGACACCCTTGTCCTCTGCCCCATGGCCCAGGTGCTGGAGCTTGACCCCATGGCTGAGCCGCCTGGTGATGGTGGCTACTTTGGGCAGCACTGGCAGAGGAACAAGGAAAACAGGACTGCATCTCATCCCTAGGCCTTACTCAACAGTGAATTCCTGCTTACTTCCAGGGAACTCCCCTGTAATCTGGCCCAGGGATCAATGCTGTGAAGCCAACCCTAGCTCTCCCATCACTGCCCATTCTTCCTGAGACCCAGCACCCCCATTTCAGACTCACCTGGGGGCAGGAGAGGAGGATGGAGAGGAGGAACAGGAAGGAAATGCAAAATGGTGCCCAGGGGGTGTGGCAGATGAGTCCACGAGGTCAGGCATGGCAGGAGAAGTGCTCACAGTCTGAGTGACCACTAGCTCTGGGTCCAAGACATAGAGCTCATCCTGAGAGATCTCTGTCACATAGTTTAGGTGTTCCTGAAAGACACAAGTCAGGACATGCTTCCTCAGAAGCAAGACCTACTTCTGCAAAACTACATCCCCTCATATCCCATTGGGTGAGTTTGTGGCCCACCCATTTGCACAGCAATGGTGGCTTGAACAGTCTTGTGCCCGGGAGCCTTTGCATCTCCTTGTTCTTTTCAGGCTTCCTGTCTCCTGCCGCCTTAGCGACCTTGTAAACCTTATCTCCACACCCCCCTCCCCAGATCATTAAGGAAAGTATCTAATACTGGTGAAGACGATCCCAGCTGGCAGGTCCCCTGGCCAGTCTTGCTATGTTTGCTATTCCTTACCTGCTGCACTGGAGGGCCCTGCAGGCAGCTTTCAACCCAAGGTTCTGCACTACCACCCAGGCTTCTTCCCTTTTCTCTAGAAACCTGGAGGTGCTGAGCCTGGTCCTGGGCCAGGCTCATCATGCCATCCCTTTGGGGGATGCCAAAGGCCAGGTCAGTGGTGTGAGACCTGTGTGGCCCTAAGGCTAAGCCTGTTGGCCTGTGTGCAGGTGGGACACGCAAGCACCTCCCCAGGGGATGCCGGTGCAGGGTGAGGCTGCACTCACCTGTGCGCGGTCTATCCTGTAGAACCGATCGGCCGTGGTTGCTGTAAGACAGGAACAGAATGAGACAGGCTGATCCTTGGTGTGAGACAGCGCCTCTTCCCATTACCAGTGACAGTGAGCTATCCAGCCACTTCATGCCTTGCACAGAGGGTACAGCAGAGCAAACGGCAGCCCCTGACCAGGAGCAAACCACTTTCCTTCATGAATCTGCTGGTGTCTTCACCCTAGAGACAGCCCCTTAGGCCAACAGACCACCATGTCCCCGTGAAACACGCCTTTGCTTGCTACCTTCTCCTCAATGACTCCTGGCAGGGAGCCACAGGTAAGGCAGGAACACAACTAGCTGATGCCATGGCCTTTCTGGGGGCTTTCAGGTGCTCCAGCATTATTCCAAGCAGATGAAGCTCAGGGCTATGCAGTGCACATCTCAGCACTCTCTTATACCAGGTGAGGAACTGCTGCGATTAACATGGTGCGCCTTGTTGAACAGCGCTCAGAAATGGGGGCACTACAGGAGGCTGGGAAAAGAGAGGGCTCAGCCTCCTGCTGACTTGACTAAGGACCTTCATGAGGCCACTCAGAGCATGTGTGGCACAACAGAGCATGCCACCACCAGCTGTAGATCCAAGTCCCTGTCTCCTAGGATGGCAGGAGAGCTCCGAATCAGCCTCCAGCCTGTCTGAGTGCATCCCTCTTCCCTAGAGAAGAGATCACCACAGAGAGAGAGAAGCTCCAACAGAGCAAGTGGTTATGCTGGAACCAGACACACATGGCCACCACCCCTAGGGGAGCAGGGAGAGGTTATGGATTAAGGGCATCACCAAGGGAGACCAGGACAAGTAAAAGCACAGTGCCAGGACAGCTGGATTCCTATGCAGGGCAACATTTCCCCAGTATCCTGACAGGCTGCTGGTGCCAGTCCAGGAGAGGATGCTGCAGTGGGATTCTTGCAGACTCAAGGAAGTCTCTCTGCAAACAGAGTGGGGATGTGCTAGAGCAGGTGAGAGGAGTGAAAGAGCCATGTTTATCCTGGATATTTGCATCCAGGGAGCTACTGTTCAAGGCCTATAATTCAGCTACTTGAACAAACCTGTGCTGTGTTGAATGAGACTCTAGTCTCTTTCCTGACACATTTTCCTGAGCCCAGAACCTGCTGCTGGGAGACTGGCAGAAGGGAAAGTGGCCCTGGTACAGCAGTCCTAGTAGTGACACCATACACAGGGCTAGAACCTTGAAGGGAGAAGTTGCACCCTCTCTGCCTAGCACGAGCCTTCCCAGGCCCACTTTGCAACCCATGGCTGTGCTCTTCTGTGGTCTACATGCTGCTTGCTGGGGCATCAGAGAGATGAAATGCTACAAATGGGCATTTCACTCAGCCAGCTTCCAGGTACAGAGAGAGGTTCTTGGTCGGAGAAGGCAAAGGGAGAAGAGAAAGGCACTTTCAGGCAGGAGAGAAGCAGCAGCTGCAGCCCAACAGGGAGGCTGTTCCACAACAATGCTATGCTCATGGTGAGCCTGGCTCTGGGCATGCTGGAGCAGGGGGGCCCCCTGCCTGCACGACTCAGGAGAGCATCCCCAGCAGTCCCGCAGTGACAAACACACACCACCAAGCTGCCTTCAGCTCCAGGGGCAAGAGAACCACAGACTCCCCTTGCTCCACTCCGGGTCAGCAGCCAGACATGCAGCCTGGGGGAAAGCACTGCTGTGCTCAGCCCCAAAGACCCCAACATCCATGAGTCCCAAGCCTCAATGGTTCCCTGTCGCTTGTCACTGAACGCCTGTTCTCCCCCCCCCCCAAATTCACAGAACCACGGAATGATCACAAAAATTGCTTAGGTTGGAAAAGACCCTTAAGATCGAGTCCAACCGTTAAACCAACACTGCCAAGTCCACCATCAAGCCACATCCCTAAGTGCCACATCTACACATCTTTTAAGTATCTTTAGGGATAGGGACTCATCCACTTCCCTGGGCAGCCTGTTCCAATGCTTGATCCCCATTTCAGTGGGGAAAAAGGCCTCCCTGATGCAACTTGAGGTCATTCATTTCCCTTTATCCTCTTGCTTGTTACGTGGGAGAAGAGACAAACACAATTTCACACAATCTCTTTCCAAGTAGCTGTAGAGAGTGGCAAGGTCTCCCCTTAGCCTCCTTTTCTCTAGGCTAACCAACCCCAGCTTCCTCAGCTACACCTCCTAAAATTTGTGCTCCAGAGCCTTCATCAGCTCCATTGTCCTTCTCTGCACATGCTCCACCACCTCAGTGTCCTTCTTGCAGTGAGAGGCCCAAAGCTGGATGCAGGATTCCGGGTGTGGCCTCACCAGGGCTGAGAACAAGGAAACAATCACTGCCCTGGTCCTGCTGGCTACAATTTTCTTGATCCAGGCCAGAAGGCCATTGGCCTTCTAGGCCACCTGGACACTGTCAGAGACTGAAATAATTCATGCCTCAAACACTGCTATAAAGTTTTACTCATTATAACTGTATAAAAACTGTATAAAGAAGCTACAACCAAAGAAGCTTCCGTGAAGATACCTGAGTGGGAGTTTAGACTGAAAATTAAACTGCTAAGATTAAATAAAGGGAATTCTTCAATCACCTGAAACAAACAAGTAAACAAGGGCAAGAATGTGAGACCAACCCAGCAGTCATGCTAAGAATCATCTCTGGCTTGCTTTGGGGTGGGGGAGGCTGTAGCCCACAAACCCATTTGCTTGGAGCAGGTTTGCACAGATTTCACACCCCATCTGAGTGGGGGGAGGAAGTTTTGGTGCATTGTAACCTCTGCTCAGGGGCTGTGAACCCATCCTGCCTTGTACAAACTGGCTATGGAACCCCCAGCCCTGGGAAGGCAACATCCATGGGACATTCACGTGAGGGGCAGCTGAGGGGGTGCACTAATCCATCAAAGCTCCCCCAAAGTGCCTCCACAGTCATTCCTGAGGCTTTGCACCACAGGACAGCACGTAATGCAACAAATGTGGAAGAGACAGCGGCAAACTGTCCTCCTACTCCAGGAAGGTAGGGATTTTTATATATGGCCTGAGTGTGTATTAACCCATCAGATTCTATTCTTTTTTGAGGGGACCTTCACCACCAAAAAGACCAGCTGGAGAGGATCAATAGAACATCACTGGGATCCACAGAGTGGTGATACTTTCTTTATTCTGTCCCTGTTACTCTCTTTCTGTCCCCACACCTATTTTCTATTTCTCTCTCTCTCATATTTACAGTCAAAAACCCATACTATTGTCACTGACATATGGTCTCATTTTCACCTTAATTTGGGCAGGGGCATTCCTAAGAACCTTAATAATCAGATCCTGACAGACACACACACTGAGTCATGTTCAGCTGCCATTGACAAGCACCTCCAGATGCTTTTCTGCGGAGCAGCTTTCCAGCTCCCATTCCTCCAGCCTGCAGCACTGCACGGGGCAGTTGTGACCCAAGGTCAGGACATTTACTTTTTTGAACCTCATGCAATCGGCCTTGGCCCATGATCCAGCCTGCCCAGATCCCTCTGCAGTGCCTTCCTGCCCTCCCACAGATCAACACTCCCACCCAGCTTATCTGCAAGTGCCTGAGCTGTGCCTGATCTCCCCATCCAGACTGATAAAGACAATAAATGGGACCAGGCCCGATGCTGAGCCCTGGGGATCACCACCGGTGACTGGCTGCCAGCTGGATGTAACTCCAGGCACCACCACTCTCTGGGCCCGGCCATCCAGCTGGTTTTCTAACCAGTGAACAGTGAACTCATGTGAGCCACGAGCAGCCAGTTTCCCTGGGAGAATGCTGTGGGAAACAGTGTCAAATGTTTTACTGAAGTTCAGGTGGACAACATCCACAGCTTTTCACTGAGCAAGTAATCTCAACATAGGAAGAGATCAGCTTGGTCTCCTTCCTTGCCTGTCCCTCTGAAGAGTTTATAGCCATCCACTGCAACACCCCAGCTGTGTGACTTATCCTGCCATGTCTCTGTGATGGCAACTATGTCATAGTTTTCTTGCTCTACCATATCTTTTCGCTCCTCCTGTTTGTAAACCATGTTGCACACATTGGTGTTGACACACTTCAGTTGTGCTACTAATTCCTCCACTTTTCTGGGCATAGGAGCTGTAATTCCTATGCCCTAATTCTCAGGTGCTTCTGTGGTTTCTAAGGCATCAATAACCCTTGGATCTTTGCAGCCATGTGGATCTCCATCCCCTACCTCCATTGAGCTGGCAGACCAAAGGACCTTGCCAGCACATCATCAGACCCAGCTCCTAGTGAAGGGGGATACTCACAGTCCAGGAAGCACCACTTGGGTGACAGCCTCTGGAATGACACTGTCTTCGGCTTGGCTCCATCTCCCTCCTGCATAATAAAAGAGAGGATAAAGACATAGCTTATGGCCCCTGCATCCCTCTTCAGAGCATTTCTCCTGCTTTGGGAGGTCCCTGCAGACATAGAGGACCACAGGCACTTGGATGAAATTGAACACAGGCACAGCACACTGCAACAGGGAGCACCATGGGACAGACTGGAGCTGACTGTAGAGCAGTGTCACAAGATGAGCCCCTGAGACTGGCACAGTGGACATGGCAGATGGGCCCAGAGGACAGAGAGAGGCCATACACACCTGGAAGAGCAGGCGCTCTAAAGCAGAGGGCTGTGCAGGGAAATCCTGCAGAAAAGCAAGGTGTCCTGTTACAGCCTGCATCTGGGCAGCCCCTCGGTCCCTCTCTCATCCCACTGGAGTTGCTTGATGTGCTGCCATGTTTGGCTTTACAGACTGTCTGGCCAAGGTCCTTGCCTGGCTTTAAGATCAGAGCACAGAGCTTACCCAAGGAGTGACAAGAGGTAAACCATGAGGTGACCAAGGAACAACGGCCACACTGCACAGTTTTAAAGGTGCGGGAGATTGCAGGGGCATCTGTCTATCACACTGACACAGCAGGAGAGTATTACTCTGTGAACCCAGGAGCTGCTAGCCATGTGCCTGCCTGTCTGTCCCCACCAGTGCCTGGGCACAAAGTGGGCAGGGGACATGCATACAGAGCAGGCACAGCAACAGGCAGGTGCCAGTGTGCCAGCCCAGGCAAGCAGCTCTGCAACTCAGCTCTGAGGGACTCTACACATACAATGCATGGGATTCCCACAGGCACAAGGGCCAGCTAACAGCAGACTAAGAAAGGTCCCTTCAATCTTCTCTGCAACAATCAGATTGAGCAGTGCAGCACCAGAAGCCACACTATGGGCTTAGAAGGCATTGCTCACTAGGACCAACAGTAACATAGTCTATGTACAGGTCACAGACGTGCTAGTACATTGGCAAGGACATAAAAATTAGTGCTTGTAAATGAGAAGAGTGGGAGGGGTTATAAACCTAATTCAGGCACCTGGAGAAGGAGGAGCTGTGACAGGAAACACAGAGCCTGTGAAGGGTTGAATGGTTATAGGCCCCCCACAGGATGTGTGCTGGCTTTTTATACTACCCTGTAGCTTTTCAGAGTCACTTTCTGGGCTTGGAGAACAGTCAGAAAAGGAATGCTGAAAAAGAAGCTGTCAGACAGCAGGGAGCAACAAGGCATACAGCTTGGGACCCTGCCTTCACCACATGGTGAAGGCAAACCGTGACCTCTAAGCGTGACCCAAAGCAAGAGTTTGTATGGTGGTGTGTGCAGGTCAAGGTGGCTTCAAAATCCTTTCCCTGAGTCCCTTCATTCTCAGTATTAAGCTATGACCGCTTTTCATGCAGACTCACCTCCTGTAGCTTCTCAATCTGAGTCCGGCACAACTCCAGATCACTGTCTCCTGGAACCACGATGATCCCCAGTGGCACAGCTGAAGGACAGGGCACAGGCTTAACTCAGGGAGCAGTCCATGCCCCATTTCCAACACCTCACAGTTTAGCTACAGGCTTTGCCATACTTGGGGACTGCAGTTCCCACCCCCTGGTCACTCAGCTGGTCACTCACAGGCTTCCTTGAGCTTTTCCTTGTCATAGTTCAGTGCCTCATAGTCGCGCATGCTGATGCGGCTCACTCGGATCCGCAGCCGCTCGGGCACTGGCTGCTGGCTGTGTGCAGGGGGCAAGGAAAAAGGAAGATTTCAGAAAGTGACACCCTGCTTTCTCCTTATTGCCCCAATCCCTCCAAAATAGGCAGGAGTATTGTATAGACTGGGGTGGGGAGCTTGGCACCAGCATCAGGGTCTGGTCTTACTTCTGTGACCCAATCCCTTCCCAGACCCTATCCAAGAAAGGACTGAAATGCCTCGGCCAGTCACGGATCAGTCCCATCCCTTTCCCTGCCAACCATCCTTCCTTGGAGAGGAGGTGGCAGATCAATTTGAGGAACCTACTCATTGAGCAGAGGCATGGAGTTGCGCCGCTTGGTCTTCTGCAGCATGTTGGCTTGGTTGCGCAGAGAGATGTGGATGCAGGAAGCTGCCAGCTTGCAGGGCTCTCCATCTACCTGCATGGGGATGGCCTTGAATGTGGTGAGAACCACCTGCCGGCACTGACAGAGCCGCTCCCCATGGCCACCGACTTGCAAGGCAGCCTGTGAAAGGGTCCAGAGTGAGAGCAGAACATGGACTGAGACGTGGATGAGGGGAACATCCATTGTCATCTGGATGTTACAAGTGAACAATGTTCTGAGGGTCTCAGGTATGATTTCAGTGAGAAGGGACTCACAGAGACCAGGGCATGACAGCACCTCACCTAAATCTTAGAGAGCAGACACTGTCATATAGGCCAGAACCACAACTCCTCCAGAGAGGATCTGTGGAGCTGTGGGCTGGCTGACACCTGGTCAATGGGACCATTCACTCCCCTGATTGCTACCTACAACTGGCAACAGCACTAACTCACCAGTGATGTCATGGTGAAGCCGATAACTTCAATGCAGCCATCATCATGGCGCTGGGGCTCGAAGTCATGGTGCTCCCCAGGGTTGCCCCAGGGCATGGTGCCTGCACAGTACCTGTGAAAGGACAAGAAGAAATACCTGGACTGGCACCCCAAACCCAGGCAGAGATCTACAGCACAGGTGTGAAAAGCCCAGCAAATGAAGACAGGTCCTGAGGGTGCTCACCTTGGGATGTTAAGGAAGACCAGGCACTGGGGCTTCAGGTCCTGAATCTTGGAGGTCAGGTCTATCCCATCACACTAGAGACAACACAGGGGTGCTCAGGCTGCTGTAAGGGGGGAGCCTGGTCCATCCTACTCACTTAGGAAGAAATGACCTCCCTCCTCTGCTCCCTATAGTGAATGTTCTCCAAGTCAGGGGAAGCTGATGCTCCCAGGAAGTTCCCCATTCGTTCCCCAACCCTGACATACTCAGTGTGCCAAGGGACATTATTCACACCTCCACAGCTCACCCCCTCCCTGGACCAGAGCACCCCAGCACACTCACAACCAGCCTGACATGCTTCGCCAAGTCTTTGGAGCTCCCGGTGAGGAAGTCGGAGAAGGCCGTCTGCCAAGGTAAGAGACAGAGTTAGTGCCCAGGTGTTCACCAGAACGGGAAGCCAGGAAGCCTGCCTCTGACCTGCAACTCAGCCTGCCTCTGACCTGACACAGACCTCAGCTGATCAAACCTGCAAACCCCCTTTTCATTCACTGTCAGAAGTCCTCTTCTCCTCCAAAACAACCTGATCCATTCCTCTTGCTATTTTGCCTACCAAAAATCTTGAGGCACTGTCAGTAACATGCTCTAGTATTCCCTTGCCAGCCCAGTCCTGACTTTAGGGAAGAGCTGACAAGATGAGTCTCCTACAGTGAGAATCAAGTAACAAGAGACAAATTCAGTCTCAAGCTGATATGAAGTACCACCAAACAGAGCTGAAGTGACCCCATCTAGAGATTCCAGGAGGGACAGCATGGTTCCCCTTTGGGCTTAACTGTGCAGACAGCAAAAGAGACACAAGCGAGACAGGTGTGAGATGGCATGGAGCAGCACTCAGCCTTTAGTACTGCTTGAATACCAGTCACCAGACACATGCCTAGAAAGTATATTGAGGATGGGGAGACAGAGGAACAAAAATGATACTGAGATGCAAAGCTCTCAGGTGAGACACAGGAGAATGATGTAATTAGCCAGGAAGCTGTAACTGGTCCAAGGTATATAATAAAAGACCAAAGTAGTGTGCAGACTATGGAAAGGCTTCCTTTTTCTCTGCAGGGGGGACAGTCTGCCTTCCCACAGCTCCAGGGCGGTCCTGCCTTGGTGAACACCCCTAAGCTTGAGATCAAGAACAATAGTGGCAGGAGATCAATACAGCAACTGTACTGCAGGCCACGGAGCAAGTTGTACTGCCAGCAGCACTCACAGCCAAAGGGGAGCTGGACTCCCAGCACTGCAGTATTTCTCCAGCAACTTTCCAGCTTTGGGCTGGGGGGCTTAACTTGGATGCATGTGAAGGTCTATGTAGCTTATGGGTGAGTTTAGGATGCAGGCAGGAGGTGGGTCCAGGCCTGTGCTGCAGCTGACGTTAAGGCTGCTATGACGGCAGGCTCAGACATCCCCCACACACTCACCCCAGCATAGAACATTTTATTCCGAAACCGGCTGTTGAACTTCTCTGGGTTGGCCTCTAGGGAAAAGGAGAAAAAAGTCCAGGTCACTGGCCTACACATGGAAACATTTTACTTGCCAGCTCTCCTCAGACACAGCTCTCCAGCCAGCCTCAGCCAGGGGTCAGGCCCCAGCTTCTTTCCTGTGCAGGCACCCCTTTTCCCCCTTTGCAGCTTGGACTTGCTCCTCATGTTTCACCTCCAGCTCTGCCCCTGAAGCAATTCTCTTGTTCCCTTTCCTGAGGAACCCACAAATGAGAACAGGCCCATCCCACAGACACCGACCAAGTCCTGTCACTGCCCTGTACCTCGAGATTCGTGGAACTCCAGCGTCACCCGTGCGTCAAAGCCAAGGCTGAAGTAATTATTAAAGACATCCAAAGGGAGCTGAAATGGAAAGGAGAAATAAGGATGAGGCCGCCAGCATGTGCCTGTGGCACAGATGAGATCAGGTTACAGCAGAGCCATTACAGTGCTCATGAGGCTGAAAGATCCTGCTTGCCTTTTCCCTAGGAAAATACAGAAGTCACCAGCCTGAGATGATGGATTATTTCCTGGCTCCTAGGGGCAAGGGAAACGGTCCAAGGGGACACACTCTGCTCTCTGAGGTTTCTGCAGTCACCCATGTTTCTGTTAAAGAAAACAGTCTCACAGAAGACTTATACCTGTTGTAAGTTGTTGTTAAAAACCTTTGGTAGGCATTTATTTATGAACTCTACATACACTCTTGCTATGAATGCTGTGGCTCAGAGCCATGAACAGAATGGTGGAATTGGAGGAGTGAGAGGGAAACACCAACCTGAGAACATAGCCCCAAGTGCTGGGACTGCCCAAGCCAGTGACAGAAGAGAGAATGCAGACTCTAGCACAGGGAACAGACATGGAGAGGTGTCCCACCTTGTCAGCAGCTGCCTCATCCTTTTCCTCAGGGCTTGTGTCAGGGTTTGGCTCCACATGGAGGTTCCAGCGATCAAGCTGTACAATGTTCCCATCTTCAACGTGCGATAGGATCTTGGACAGAGGCTCATCTGTGTAACCCTGGTGAAGAGAAGGACTTGGGGAGTCTCATGCCGGCCTCCCAGAGAGATACCCCAGACAGCAGGCTTTGGTAAGGCATCTCAGAATAAAAGATGTAGAAGAGATCAACTCTACTTGAATGCACAACAAAATGGGACTTGAAATTTAAAACAATACATCTTCCTTCTAAAAATTTTCCGAAGTTTGGAAAGTCAATTGCTTTTGTAGAATCTAATGCAGTACCATTCAAATGTCAGAAGAACAGCAACGTCCAAATTGCACTTATTTGTTGCTCTGTATTTACAGGAAGTTGAAACATGAGCCCATGCAAATCTCCAACCACGTGTCTGAAACAAGGATTGAAGCACTCAGCCCTGCTCTCTCAGCAGCGGGTTCTTGTGTCCATCACTTACCCCACCCCAGTTCAGTGTTCTGGCCAAGTCGTTCCCTGTCCCCAAAGGTAGGATGGCCACAGGAGGAGGTGGGTTGATGCGTAACTGGTCCAGAATGGAGAGTATCCAGCCCACCTGCTCAAGCAAGAGAGTACAAAGAAACCATTAGTTATCTCAGGCACCTGCAGGCAGGCAGAGGTGACTTAGAGCACTAGCGATGGCAGAGGGGCAGAGATGGGGTCTCCTTAGCCACAACTGAGGCTATTCACAGTCTTTAACACTCTAATCAGGTGCTGCAGGACGTACCAGTAACCCCAGTGAGGACCCTGGCCCTCAAAAGGGCTACAAATCCAGACATGTTAGACTAGCACTCCCTGGAACAGTGCACGAGGGGACCCACAGCATCTCTGCTACCAGCTGTACCATGGGTGCAGTGTGCCCAGTTTGTCCTGTTCTGGATTACAACAAGGAGGGCTGCTGTCTGCACTGGAAAGGCCTGGGGGAAGGGGCACCAGGGGATGGAGGGGCTGGGGACTCACCGTGCCATCTCCCCCGCACGCCAGGATCCGGAGGTTGTGGACTTTGCGGTACAGCTCCAACCTGTGGGCAACAGGGAGGTTGAGGAGGGGAGAGTTACTGAAGGTGTTACACAGCAGCTGCCTCTCGGAGCCCTTGGCATTCACAAAGCCACATCCATGTCTCCCTCTATGAGCTGGGGGAAGAGCTCTCAGGAGGAATCCTGGGACATGGATGGGGGAGAGAAAGGTGCTGCCCCCATCAGTACTCACGCCTCCTTGGGTCCACCCTGGCTGAGGTCGAAAACCTGCCGTGGGTTGAGATACCACATGAAGGACTGGATGATCTTGGCTCCCTATGGGGAGAAGAAAGACTTCAGGTAATATTGAGTTCCCAGTGGACAGCAGAAGGAGGCATTTGGTCCTGCCTGGGGACAGGCTAAGACAACACCATTCTGGAGGGGACACAGGCAAAGCTTGGCCGAGGTAGGAACTGCTATGCAGCAACTGGCATTGTGGCCTCTTGTGCAGCTGAAGCATCACCAAAACTGTGATGACAGCTCAGCACTCAAATGGCAATGCCCTCACAGAGATGTCTTCTTAGACATACCAGCCAAGGCCATACCTGATTCCCACCACTCTTGGGGTTCACAAACACCAGCAAGGGCTTCATGAGAGGAGCTGGCATGGGCTTGATGACAAAGGGTTTCCACCTCCCTTCCTGCAAGAGATACCACAGATCCTTCAACAAAGAGATACCATAGATCCTTCAACAAAGCTGGGGAAATGCAAACTGCCACCTCCAGCTGAGCCCTAACATCATGCAGGTCAGAAGCAGGAGAAAGAAAACATCCCAGCCACCCCATAAGCTTTGTTTCTGGGATATACCCTGCCAGCAGGCATGCTCCCTCCAGCTCAACATCCTTAATGTCAGTACAGACCCAGAAAAGCCCACATTTATTCTCAGCCTTGCTCCTCACTGTACAGTCCCTCTGCCCTTCCAAGACAAGGTCATTCCCAGTCCCCTCATATCTTACCTCAGCCCCCTTTTTGCTGGATTTCCGCTTGAATGATGTCCTCTTCTTTTTTTTACTAGACTTCAGTGGATTCTGTAGAGAAAAGGAACAAACACAAAAACTCTGTGAAGAGACACTGGGCAAAGTGGTAACTTTGAAAGAGCCCCAAGAGCTGAAGTGACTCACCTGGGGCCGCCGGACCCGCAGAATCCAGGTGGGAGGAACGACGACAGCAGCGTGAGCCCCCAGTGAGCAGGGCTCTTCAATGTGTTGCAGCATGAAACACGATACTTTGCTGTGATACTGGCCAAGGAGGAGACAGAGAGAAAACTCAGCTGCTCAGTTTGCTGGGCACAGCCACAATCCCCTCCTCTCAGGTTCTCCATGCCAATGCAGGGAGTGCTGGATGAAACCATGCAGGAATTTTGTAACGGGAAGGCAATGAAGAGAAAGTTTCTCAAAGGAGCTTGCAAATATCATAGTACAGTCTCTGCCAGCAGGGGGAGCTGTTGAGGGCAGGCTGCCGAGCAGCAGCTCGGGGAGCCCCGGCAAAAAGCAGAGGTCATTCGTGCAGAACTGACTGGAAAGGCATTCAGGGGGGCTCTGCTCACCGCTTGTTTGCACCAGGAACAGCTGATGGCTACAATCTCTTTGCTGTGGAAGGCAAACTTCTGCTGAAAACCCTATGGAAGAAAGGACAAGAGGCTTAGGGAATTTCCTACAGTTTCCTATCATCCAACAGTAAGAGACATTAACAAAGAGAGCATGCCTGCAGCTGGAGCCCTCCAGATCCTGTCACACAGTCCCAATCACAACAGCACCAGGGAGGCCACTGTGCTCTGTAGGGGTGTCCTTATTGCTCAAGGAAAGCATGTCAGGAAGACAGTCTCTGTCAGGGGAAGAACTACTCTATGTGGGAAGCAGTTACACAGTACTTCACTGAGTAAAGCAGGGCACGTGTCTTGGTTTTGCTGCCAGACAGGAATGGTGGGATGTCCCTGGTTCCAAGCCCTGTGCATGTCTCTGGCTTGACCTTAGGTTTCCTTCAGGCTGAGAAAAATGCCCAAGATGCCCTCTCACCTTGCCACACTGCCGGCACTTCCCTTCCTGCCGCCTCCGGTGCACCCAGTGATGTCGGACAACAATGGGCTAAACGGAAAAGAAAAAAGGAAAATTGAAAAAAAAAAGAAGTGAAGGGCCCAGGGCAGGAGGGAACACAGGAACGGGCAGAAGGAATGGACACAGGCCAGCCAACCTCTGCTCTCGCAGCAAAACCACTGCTCATAAGGACCAGCCCCCCACCTGCTGAGAAGGCAAAGCCAAAGAATCAGGGGACAAGAGGCCAAATTAAGATGCTCCAAGAAAAGGGAATTAAAACCAGAAGAAATAGGAAGGAGGACGGGGAAACTAAAGACTGAGAATCACACAAAGCAGATCCAATGGAGAGTGGGTAAGCAGCAGCACATCTCTGTCCCCTAACATCTCTGCCCAGATGCCCCTAGTGCCAGGTGAAAAATGTGCTGGTGGATGGCGTGAAAATCCCTGGAGAGACACAGTTTGTGCCCATAGGAAGAAGATGGAAGTGCTTGCAGCTAAGCAGTGAACCTCCTCACTCCACATTCCTCGAGAAGAGTGGCAGCCTCAAAGCCCTCACACCCACTTCCCCCTGCTCTTTCCCCAGGCCAATCCTGAGCTTGCTTCAGTGCCAGCGTGGGCAGCAAGGCTGCTCGGCAGCACCTCTGCTCTGCTTGCAGGCTCACAGTGGGTTCAGGGCTGGGACTTGCAGAAGTGATTGTGAGGGTTTCAGAAGTTTTGTAATGAAGTACCACTTGTCCTAAATCCTATCCTGTTTTTCCAGCCCTGGACCGGGAACAGGCTGGAAAACTGCAGAGAGAGAAGCAAAAAGAGAAAGGGAGTACAAGTTCACAGGCTGGCATGACAGGGCCCAACATCCTGCTCCTGACAGCTTTTGGGATCATGATGATGAGAGACAGAAACTGGCAGGAGGTTGGGGTCAGCTCCAGTGTTGCCTCCTTTGAGTGCAGCACACATGAGGGGATGAAGAGTCTTGTTGGCTTTAGTGGATATTAATCCAGCAGGAGCAGAAGGAGGGCTATGCCTTGAGCTCAGCTCTGGGTCCAAGCAGGCACATCTAGCAAAAGGGCTGACCCTGAAGGAGATCCCTGGCACCACAAAGGCCAGAAGAACACCTTTTTAGGGAAACAGGAAGGAAGAGGTCTTGGAGGAACTGAGAAGCATTAGAAAGACAGGATGGAGAAGCAGAGTTTGTGAGAGAAAAGAAAAAGCAAGAAAGGGGAGGGAGAAAAGATTTGTAGAGGTTGGAGAGAAGAAAAATAGAGACAGACAATTGAGCAGAGACAGCAAGCTGTTAGCAGAGTCCAAAAGGTAAATGAAGCACAAATAAGGGAGCTAGACTAAGAGCAATATGGGAAGGAGGCACAGAAAGAAAAACAAAGCAAGAAAGAAGGGTTTAAAGTGATGCTGAAAGCTTCCCTTTACAACGTCATGCCAGCATTTCAAAGCAGGCAGCCCTATGTTTGAACATCCTTCCCCAGCTAGGTCTGCTGTGCCAGCACAAACACAGTGTGCTGGGGGCAGCTCTGTTACCAACATGGCCCATGACTGAGCCACCCACACCCACTCCAGAGCCCTGCACAGGCTACATTGGCTCCACAGGCTGGAGGGTGAAGCATGAAGGCTGACAGCGGCTTCCACCAGTGCAGGTCAGCAGACAGGTTCCAGGCCACTGCTTATGCCCAGTACATAACAACATGGGCTGAAGGGGTCTGATACCACTACTGTGGGCAACTTCCACCGCCACCTGTGGCACCTAGGTCAGAGCTGAGTGATAAAGCCAGAAATGAGCCCATACTGCTTCCTTCCAAATTGCAGGAGACGTGGGGACCTGCTGTTTGCCACAGCCTCATCTATGTGCCTGAGGACCCAACACAAGGGTCAAAATTTCTCCCAAAAACCACTGTCTGTAAGTTCCTCCCATGCAGATTCAGGACATGCAAACCATCGGATGCTCTGCATCTGCTGCCTGCAAACTTCTCACTCTTCAAACCCAGTCGGGGCTGCTGCCTTGCAAAGAAACTCCCGTTTATGGCACCACTCCCTTGGAGCAGGAAGGAACATGATGCCTCCACTTGGATGGGCAACACGCTGGCAGCATCTGGTGTCTTTACACCAAACTGGAAATGGGAGATGCAGATGTGGGCCGAGTCTAAGGCACGTGTCTCACCTCCCGTATGTTCCGGGATCCTGACTCCCTGAAGGAAGGCTTGCAGCGAAAATTTATCTGTAGGAAGAACACAGGAGAAGAACCAGTAAAACCATCGTACCTGAAGGAAATCTACTGGAATTTACTGCACTACAGTAAGATCCACAACCTTTGGAGTTGTTTGGTACTTGCCACAAAACATATCTTGGTTACTGAACAAAATGGGGCCTGGGGTCCCAATCATATCACTAGATCCTCATTTTGGTACTGTCTCCTCAGAAGACCAGTCTCTGCAATTACACATTGCAGTTCCTCCATCTTCTTGTGTTTCACTGCCCAAGACAAGGCTGCTACAGTTTTGCAAGCTGCAGGGAGGGCTTAACAGGCTCTACTCACTTTCTCCAGCTGTTCGATGCAGGGTGTATGCACTACGATCTTGCAGGCTGCACACTTGCGCCTGGAGAGAGGTTTTTGCTGAAGGGTAAGAAAACAGGAGAAAAAATATACATGTGAATGAAAATATGCAGTGTTCAGAGTCTGGCAGCTCAGCCTCCCATCATACCTCCTTCTTATGTACTGGGATACAGTACAAGCTCTACTGTAAGGTTAGATACAACCTAGACTTCTTACCTAGTGAAAGGCTCTAAGCATGTGCCTATAGCAGTTGTTCTCAAGCCTGGGACAGAGCAGGGAGGTACTTTCCCTACTGTCCTGTCCTGCAGTACTTGTCTTTTTCTGACACTGCCTGAGAGCACCATGGAAGCTGGTCTGGGAGGTATCTGCAGGGTGGTATCAGTGGCAGGCACCTGCAAGATGGCATATGGAGCATCAGCGCTCCATATCCTGCACCACGAGCAGGACTGAGCCTACAAACTGGGAGGGAGGACTGCAGGGGCAGGAGGCAACAGGCCTGGGCCTCCAGAGCTCACTTTTCTCCTCTGTTGAAGGGTCTTGGATTCAGATTGTCCTTTCAAGGGTGTGGAATACCAACAGCCTCTCTCTGGAACCCTCCAGGCAAGAGGCAGCCCTGCATCAGGTTCCCATTGCAAAATGGGAACCAGCATTGGCAGAAACTGGGGACTAGGCCCTCTGGTATGCAGAGGCAGAAGGGACACAGTCCCTGCCTTGGCAGCTCCCCAGATCCCTGCATGGCCCCCAGCAGCAGCAGCAGCGCGGCCTCTGCGGTCTCCCCATACGGTGACAGCACAGCCGCGTTTGTGGCCCCAGGTGACTCACCAGAAGCTTTGCCATGCAGTTCTGTTCCCCAACGTAGCAAAAGTCACCAGAGACATTGGTCTCAAACCAGATGTGCTCCCCATAGACCGCAGCCTCCTGAAACACACAAAACAACACAACCTCTGAGAGAACCCCCAGAGAGGCAATTGAGCCCCTATAATACTTTGTGCAAGGGACAAGATACTGGACAATGCTGGGAGGTGGAGGCCAGGAGACAAGATGCATGCAACAGCCAGGGACATCTGGAGAGAGGAAGCCTAAGAAAGCTGCTGCCATGTCCCACCTGTTGTAAACAAGAGGCCCCCAGGAAACCAACTCCAAGACCTACAAACCATTTGCAGTGTCCTGCACAGGAGAGCTGCTTTAATCAGCCTGAGAGGAGGCATCAGGGCAAATTCAGTGCAGGGGACACTCCTGAAGCAGCTTCTGTTCTACAATCTGAACGGGCAGCTTAAAACCTGTGGGGCATTGGCTGTTAAGGAGCAGGGGCTTACTCCTGTTGCTTGGCCCCAGCCAACAGATCTTGGCTGTCAGAAGCAGAAAAGCTGGGAGAGGAGTAGTTATGCCATCCCTCCAGGAACCACCTGTGCCTCCACAGCCTCTCTTTTGCAGCATCAAGTAGTGCTGCCAGAAGCACAGATGCTGGCACCAGCTGGTGGCAATGGGAGAGGCCATAAATGTGTCAAAGTCAGTCACCTGGGAAGCCTCAACCCTGGGAAGAGCCTGCTGCTTCTTGGCCAAGAGCCCATTCCATGCAATGCCCAGCAAAACACTGTACAACTTACGCTCCAATCCACAGTGCTGCGTATCTGCCTCTCCGAGTCGCTCCTCATGGCTAGTGCTGGGTTTGGCTGGGCCACCATGTGTTGGAGACTGGATTTAGCAATAGCTTTCCTGGAAGACAAAGGAGGGCTGGCTATTAAATATATATGCAAAGCACAACTTGCTTCTAAGATGACACGTGAGGCTGCAGCAGAAAAGGCTTCTCAGGACCAAGTGGCTGGAAATGAGGTGAATTTCCATCCCAGGTGGCTGAGAAGTACCTGTTTCTGTGAGATAGTCCTGTGGGATGAAGAAGTACTGGCCACGTTGCTGACAGCTCAGCCAGACAGCCTGTACCCAACAAAAGGCACAGCATGGGCCTGCTGGGTTAAGGCCCTCAGGAATAAGAGCTCCATTGTAAAACACCCTGGGAGTGTCCATGGAGCTGCAGTGGTGGGACTGCCTTTGCAGGGACAATCTACAGCACCAGTCCAACAGTCTCCCTGCATCTCTCAGAGCCTGGGGTGTTTCCATGGACCAGTACAACTGCCCAGAATAAAAGGAACTGTTTCTTTGGGACTAGTGAGCTTCTCCCAGATGTGCTAGGGTGGAGGAAAGGAGCAGGAAATCCAGCCAACAGGAGAAAGTGTGCATCTCCAGCCAGTGACCAGGCCTACCACATTCCCTTGGTCCCAGCCTGGCAGGAGAGGACACCCACAATCTCCAGGTGGAAGATCATCAAGGTACACCAGCAGCACTGCAAGACACCAATGGCAGGCAGGGCCAATGACGCTGAGTCTCTTCCCTCCTTCCCCACCAAACCTGGGTGTACACTCTCCCTGTCCCCTCCCCAAGGCATTGCCTGCTTACATGCTGCCACCATACATACAGCAGCCGGGGGCTCCAGCCGTCCGGGGTGGTGTGGCCAGTGGGCTCCGGTCCCAAACCCTTGACGAGGGTGGCAGAGGGGCACTTGGTTCCAGCCACTCCTGCACAGCGCTGGGCCAGCCGCCGGGGGTGGCCAGAGGGGAGCGGCCCAGGCTGAGGGGCATCACTGGAGCGCCGGCGCTGGCTGAGGCGGCGGTAGCGGCCTGGCAGGCCGTAGGCAGCCCGGCCGTGCAGGGCCTCGGTGGGCAGGCGGTGGGAGGAGGCGCGCCGCAGGCAGCGGGGGCCCCGCGACAGCAGCCCTGCCTGCAGCGGCCGCAGCTGGGGCAGCATGGCCAACCACGTCTCCTCAGCGCTATGCTCGTGCTGGCCCTGCTCAGCTCCTGCTGCTGCACCACCGTCCTCTGGAGACTCAGATGTGGAGCTGTCAGTGCAGTGAGCCCCGTCCTCCTCCTCCCCCGTGGGAAGGAGGCTGGCCAGGAGGACAGTGGGACCCAGCAGCTGGGCATCAATGGCTTGTGCCTGGCCTCCGCGCTTCTTCTGCACGGCAAACCTGGGGCTGAGGCAGGGCGGCGTGGTGCTGGAGCGGCGACGCGTGCCGGGACGCCGGACCAGCCCCAGGCAGGAGAGGGATGCCGCTGCGGTGCCTGAGCCGCGGCGGCACTGGGCCAGCGAGGCGGAGGGCAGCCCCACCTGGGAGCGCCGCCTGGCCTTGCCCGTGGGCACAGCCACCACGCTGCTGCGCCGCAGCCCCTTCCGCCCAAAGTGCCGCCTGAAAAAGCTTTCCATTGCATCCGGATGGTGGCTGTTAACACAGAGACCAGGGATTAAGTAAGCTCCCCCATGAGTCCCAGGCCATGCTGTGGCTGTCAGGGCAAGGGGACAGTGGGAAGCAAGGGATAGAGGGCTGAAGCAGGGAGTGGGAGACATGGCAATGCTACCAGAGGCGTGTGGTAGTGTTGCTCCCCATAGCTTTACTGCTCCACGAGTCTCACAGCTCAGCCCAGAGGGTTGCAATGGCAGGGAAGGTGTCACCGCCTGGCCAGGACCCTCTGCATTCCCTGCACTCCACTAAGCAGAACGCCTGTGCACTCCGAGGTGCCAATCAGCCCTGGCACCTCCATTACCCCTACCATTCTCCTGATGCTGATCCACCTGGTTTCCACACAGGAACCACTCTACTTAGGTATCAGTCCCACCAAATTTGTAGCAAATTGAAGTAAAGCCGTTGTGAGTCCTACAGAGGAAAATCGACCAGGCCAGTAAAACCACGGCAGGAGAATTTGGTAGAAGAGGTCTGGGAGAGCTGGAAGCTGGGAGAGGCTGGAGCAGGGCAGAGAAGAGTTAGGAAGATCATCCCATCTGTCCTAAGCAGAACTTCCTTCTCATGGGAGAATGAGCTTTATGGAAAGCTCATGCTTTCCCTGCCCAGTTCTCAAAGTTCGATGGTCTGCCTGGACATTGCAGCAGTCTGTTAAAAGTCAGGGGTGGAAGGCACTGCAACACTTTCAGTGGCAGTAGCTCAGCACACAAAGGCCTGAGTGGAAGGAGCTGAGTCTGGCTAGCTCCAGTGCTCCCCTCCTCCAGAGACAGTGCTTCATTTCCCACCCTCCAGCTGCCACCTCTCTTCAGCTGCTAGAGGATTTATTCAAGGCCAGCTTTAAAAAACCCACCAAAACCCACAGTTTGGTGGAAGCAAACTTCTCTCAATTGCTCCCAAGGCAGGGGACTCAGTCATAGTAGCCTGCAAGCACACAAAAGCCATCATCACCACCACTCTCAAGGATTTCCATACTGTGCAAGGCATCTCCTCTACCCACCATGAGAGCATGGGCATGCTGCTCACCACGCAGACTGACATCTCCTCCCCTTCTTCTATCTTCCTCTCTAACCATGCCCTTTTACATTCTTATGGATCAGTAATATCAGAGAACCTTCAGGACATCACTCTGGCCCAAACTTCCAATGACCTAAGGCCCACAAAAATAGGTGCATTTATCAGAAGCTTCTTCTCTGTTTATTTGGGAAATGCATGTAAGATGGGACACAGGTTTTGTCTTCTGGACAAAACGGAGTTTTTGATAGTGCTTGTAGCACAAACAGCACATTGGGCTGTACCTCTTTTAATAGATGAATACAAAGGTGAGTTTGTATTCTTGGAAAAGACAAGGCTTGGTTTGGTCTCCTCCACCCTTGCAGACAAGGAAGCCAGCTCTTCAGTTTCCATAGGCTTATCACCATGCCTATACTCAGTAATGTAGGGGAAGGAGGGATGAGTGAGGAAGGGAGGGAAGGAGGCAGGCAGGAAGGAAGGAAGGAAGGCAATGGGCTCCAGAGAGCAGCATCAGGGCAGCTAAAGCCTGGCTGAACTGAAAGCAAAGCCAAAGTGTCACCTCCTCAGAAGTATTTCTCAAGTCCTACCACTGCAAGCAATGCAGGCAGGTACTTGGTCACCAGAAGGTTCAATCCACCCAAGGCCCATGCAGCTTCACAGAGGGCTGCAGCATTTTGCTGATGACTCTGCTTCCAGTCTGTTCCCCACACTGCAGTGCTCCATTTATGTACCCTCTCCATATTATCTGCAAGACGATGCACAGTAAACAGCATAGAATCAGAGAATCTGAACTTTCCCTGTACATTTGGAGGCCATTTCCTCTTGTTCTATCACTTGTTACCTGGGAGAAAAGACTGACCCCACACCTTGCTACAATCTCCTCTCAGGTAGTTATAGAGCTCAATAAGGTCTCCCATGAGACTCCTGCTTCCTCAGCCATTTCTCCTAAGACTTGTTCCATAGACCCTTCACCAGCTGTACATCCTCTGGATGTGCTCCAGCACCTCAGTGGCAGGAGGAGGGCCCAAAACTGGACACAACACTCAAAGTGTGGCCTCACCAATGTTGAGTACAGAGAAACAGTCACTTTCCAGTCCTGTTGGCCACACTTACTGACACGGGCCAGGATACTGTTAGCCTTCATGGCCACTTGGCACATGCTGGATCATGTTCAGATGGCTGCCAATGAGCATCTTCACCAACAGGTATTAAAACCTTTCGGAACAAATAAAACACATTAAAAATACAAGCAAGAATACAGGATGTGGCACAATTGCAACAGACCTTTTTTTGGTCTGCTTTAGCTCCTGGGGGAGACATACTGACCAAAGGCACCTCAAATGAGCTGAATGGCTGTTCCCTCCTACCCCAGATATTCCACCAGCACAAAGCTGCTCCACTGCTTACTGTGTTGCTGCTGTGGGCAGGAAGATCTCTTAACACAGCTTCCTTCCTTTTTGCACCAGTCTCGTGAGGAAATCTGCTACAACAACCTTGGTTTGACATTTATGTTTGAGCACTAGCTGACTGCGGACCTTTTTATCTTCAGGGCTGTCTGTAAATGGCACGTGGAATCAAGCTCTGACCACCAGTGGTGAAGGTTATTACAAGATTGCCATCTGACAGCCCATGAGAGCAGCATGTGGCAGCTCAGATATGCTGGGTGAACATATCCCCACCTCTTGCATCTCACCTCCAACCTGAGCTCCAAATGGTGGATTGCAGGTGTGAGAGCTGCTGCTGGTGGAGCAGATGGACAAACTGCCGGGGCTGCCCATGGTTGATATGCATTAGCAGAGCTGCATGCAGAGCAGCTGGGGAACCATGCAATAGGCAGAGAGGAGCCCGAAAACAGCTAAGCCTTGGAAGGCCCAGACTTAACACCAGCATATTTCTGGCATCTCCATTGTTTGTCATGGAGAAAAAATGGAGAGGAGCCAGCAACTGTGGCTGCTTTGTAGAGCACATTACTCAGCTCAGTTAGATAAGGAGGCTGGATTGAGGCAGCCTGGCATTTGTAGGGTGCAAAGTAAGGAAGTACTGCTGCATGTTCTGAGATACCAGCTCTACTTATGAGCAGATACACACTGTCTTTTCAATCTCCTTCTGTGAATAAGGAAGGAGATAGCAACTCTGGTCTGCTCATGATCTGCAATCAGAGCTCTTGAAAGGTGGGGTGTTTTTTACTACCAGACTCCTCAAAGCATCCTACACACCCTGCCTGGCCTCAGTACAGAGATGCTGCTGAAGCAGGAACATGTCCCATCAAGATCTAAACACCCTTGGAAAGAACAGCAGGGATCCAAGAGGAAAAACGTGCATCTTGTAACTGCAGTGGACGAAGAGCTTGTGAATCAGCTGTTATGGAGACATCTCTCCAGATATCCAGCAGCTAGCTCTCATTTGGTGATGGTGATTCCAAAACCAGACAGGCTGACCCTTAGGCCTAAACATGCAGTGTTCCCCATGACATAATCTTTGCCCACATCACGAAGAGAATCTGGATATTCAGCTCCACTATTCTGCTTTGTTTCACTAACCTAGAGCAAACTCCCATGTACCATACTTAACAGGCTCTCTGTGGTAGGCAGAGGGATCCTGTGCCACACACCCTCTTGGCCCTTCCTCTGCATTATTATTCCCTTTGTGACTCCAGCAGCCGGGTCCATTCCTGTCAGTGCCCAGAAGCAAGAGAGATCTCATGTTACCTTCATACAGTGACAAATCTGGCACCAAAGGAGGCAAGAGAACCATACTGCAGGTTGTTGCTGATAAATGCACAAGCCTTGAGCCACAGAGAAGTCTGGACATAATAATACCATCAGCTCCTTCTGACCTTTCAGCAAACCTCCAATTAGTCAACTGGAAAGCATTTTTTCCATCCACGGGACTACCAGGGAAACAAGTCTGAGAGCTTCGCCCTGTTCCATGACGAGCACCTGTCCTGATGGCAGCTGGCTGGATTCCTGCATCCTGGCTAGCTGTGGGTGCTGGGGAGCTGCTGTGGCACTGGAGCTGGCAGAGTGTGAGCAGGAGCCCACTTCAGTTTACAATCTGTCTTCTCCTGGCAAAGACACTTGACTCATACAGATCAGCCACAAGGAAAGTGTGTTATTAATAGGCACTCCTGTGTGACAGCAAGATCTCCTGGGCTTCCTCCCTGCCTCCTCCCTGCCAGGGCACTGGAGGGACTGAGGGGCCCAGGAGCCCATCCAGAGAGCTGCTGCTCATTCCCACCCCGCTGGCACACCACTGGTTGCCTTCAGCCTCTGTTTCCATCGCAAGCTTGCACAACCCGCAATGCCCTTTCAGTGCTCTGATATTCAATCTTCCCATGTACACTACTGTCCTTACACCACCCCTGCTGAGATCCTGTCCCCGCTCTCCAGTCCTGCTTCCCACACATCATCACCGACCTCTCCCCTCCCTGGGGCTCCCCAGCCAGGCTTCTCTGACCTTACAAGAGCAACCTGCACAGATGAGGTCTGCTGAGGAAGGTGCCCCTGTGCCAGATGGGGAAGGGAAAATGCTGGTCAAGATGTGGTGCAGCCCTCAGGCTTTAGCTGCAGTGAGGTGTGCAGTAATCAGCAAGTTCCCATACTGTGCACTTTGTTTCTACTCAGAATTTCCATTCCAGCTGTCATCTCTCCTACCATCATACAAATAAAACTGAGTCAGGAGCTTCCCCATATTGGGTCCAGTATAAGCAAGGAGATGGGGCTCCCCCCAGCACAGGGATGCAGAGGCTCCATCCAAGCCATGAGCCTTTCAAAGCACCATGAGAGGTGAGCTATGGGCTATGCTCATCTGTTTCAGGATTCATACACTTGACCTACTGCAACAAGTGCCACCACCTATATGGGCCACTTCCAGGCTTCTGAGCTGCAGGAGCATGGTATTCCCAGAACAAGGACAAGGACATCCTCAGTTGCACTGTCACTCTGCAGAGGAGGGGATTACTGCTGCAACTGCAAGGTTGCCCCTCCAAGCTGCAGAAGCCAGTTTCTGATCCTAGCAGGGTACTCAGAGGGCAACACATCTCATCTTTCAGTGAGTCCTGGGCCTGATCAAGATAAATTCAGACCTCTCTGCTAGTAAGAAAGCAAGGTAAGTGCTTAGAAACCAGCTGGTGGTCAGATGCATGCAGCTGCAAAGGACCTCCTCCCAGCCCTGTGGTCCCTGAGGTCCCTGTCAGGGCTACTGAGCATGGGCATGACAGCAATACCTAATCATGTTTGCCAACTTGCTCAGAAGACTGTCAGTGTCACTGGGCACTCTGGGTGGCCAACCTGGAGGTCCCAGGACAGCACTGCTTCACAAGGGACAGGCAGCTATATCAGTGTAGACTCTGTATTCATCTTGTACCTGGCTGAGCACGAGCACAACTCACAGCCAGTCAGGAGCTGGGAACACCACAGGGAGGAGATACAACTTCTAAGATGCTTTCTTCAAATGAGCAAGTCAGGGTGACAGATGCAACACCAAGGACCGGCAGCTGCCTTGGGGGACGATTGTAGAAGGGCAAAGAATGAAACACCACAGTCTGACAGTTTGTCATAGTAGGCAGAGCCAGGTGAAAGGACACTGCCTAGCCATGCCTCAAGCAAAGCAAGGCAAAAACCATCCCACCTTCATGCCTGGCCCTCCACAATGCTCACATTTGGTTTTCTGAGAAGAACGGGGGCTGAGAGCAGAAGGGACTGAGACTAATACAGTTCCTAGCATTTTCCCAACACCCTTCTCATGGCAGCTCCATCCCACTTCACCCCAAGCTCTGTATGATGCAATGGTGCCATCTCCTTTTGCACCACCTTCTCAGGGTAAACATGAGATCTGTTTTAAAGCACATCTGCCAGAGTAGCTCAGATCCTCCACAGAGACTTCATAAAGTGAAGAGTTTGCCAGCCCTAATATTCAGAGTAATGTTCCCATTACAACAATGTGATTTCCTTCCCAAAATCCATGCAAGACAGTGTTTTATCTTAATTTAAACCAAAACCATCTCCTTGGAGCCTCCTGGGCTGACTCTGGGCATTTATATCCCTTGACAACTTTCCACCATCATAATGTTATGAAGTTTATATGCCAGTACAGTAAATAATCTGCCTCCTGGCAATCAAGAAACCTGACAGCACTGATGTAAACAATCTGTTGCTGCATTTGGCTGAGGAGCTGAACAGCAAGACTGACAGCCTTGAGCCATGAATTAACCAGGGCTGAAACGCAGAGGGTGAGCCCTGGACTCATGGACATCACCCATGGTGCTGGGGCTGAGGCTGAGCAGGGGTCGGGGGAGAGGCTGGCCACACAGTTTCTATTTTGGTCCCATCAGCAGGACCAGCGATGCAGGCTGGGAAGGAGTTGGAGAGTTTCTTCTCTCTCTCTCTCTGAGCCTGCTTTCCAGACTGACACACATGAAGCCAGGCAGCAGGGGCCTCAGCCAGGGTGTCCTGGAGGTTTAAGTACTCAGACCATGGTTTCTTTTGCAGATTCCCCTCACTCAGTACACTCAGCTCTGCTCCTCACAAGGAGGGATGCACTATTTAAAGGGTGGCCAGTCCCACAGCCCAGCTGTTGGATCCAAACTCCCAGAGCAGCCCCAGAGTTTTTCCCCAGCACACAATGACAAAATCCTGGCACAGAAATTCCTACTGGCCACAATGCTGCCCCAGGCAGGGCAGTACACAGTGTCTGCCCAGGGCAGCAGCCCTAGGGAGGAGGCAATGAACCTCGTGTGACAACAAAGCTGCAGTGTGGCAGATACAGAACACAGGCAGTGATTCCCAGGGCTAGTGAGTCTCTGCACCTCCCAAAGCAAAGTCAAGAAAACCTCAGGCACTCCGCAACATGCACTGATCACTGATCAGAAAGATGGGACTCACATGCCTCCCTCCAGCCCACAGCAGGGATCAGGAAGGGCATTCCACTGCTCCTGGCATAAGAAGGGAATCACAGTGCCACCAGCACCACAGGATATGCCAGGAGTCCAAAAATCTGTCCTGCTTTCCTAAACTATTCCAAAGCAAAGCGACTGAGGACTGAGGGTCCTGGCAAGGCACAGGCTAGCTCCCTGTACTCTGCTACCTGCAGATTTCCTGCTGCCACCCCCATGCCACATGGACTGGCAGGACGAAAGCAGCAGAACGGGCGGCTGGAAATACACCACTGGCAGGGCAACCCTACAGAAACAGCAGCCAGGCACCACTGAGTGCCATGGTGCCTGTGTTTTGCAGACCCCTTGCCTGAGCCCTGGGGAATGCAGTGGATCGATCAGCTTTGCTCCAGGCTCTAGCAGCAAACAGTGCTCGACAGAAGCAAAGTTGAGGGTCTTGGGGATGACTCTGGGGTCTGCTCCCCCTGCCCTTCACAGTGGTCTAGAACTAAATGCCATAGCTACAAACCAAGGGCTGTCTCTCCCCCCAGGTCCCCTCCCATCCCCCACCCAGCACAAACAAAAGCAGCAAGCGTGAGGGAGAGGGACAAGCGGGAAAAGGAAAGGGGAGGTAGAGGGAAAAAGCCCCCGTGACCTGATCCGGAGAGGCGCAGGGGTCCTGCAGGTGCCGAGTGGGCGGCAGTGGCCGCACCGCAGCAGCGGGCCAGCCCTCCCCTACTAAGTCCTAGTTTGGAGAGAGTGCTTGGCTTCTCCCTCCGCTCCTCCCTGCGCTGCTCTCGTTAAAATAGCCAACTGCACTTCCTCTCCGAGCAGCCCTGAGGCCGGCTCGCCCCCAGCCGCAGGCGCATGCACCACAGCGGGCCCGGAAAGAGAGGGGTCCCCACGGCGCCAGCTGCTCTCCAAACACTCAACTGCAGCTCGGGGATGGCGCAGCTTCCCTGGCAGCGGCAGCAGGAGGACACGGGGAGAGCGCGCCAAGGTGGCGATTCTCTCCTGCCTCCTTGGAACTTGGATAAAGGGGTTTGCATGGCTGATGAGAGTCAAGCCGCCTGCCACAGAGTGCCTGTCTACATGCACAGGAGGTAACTTGCTTCTGAGTTAGTCTTTGGTTCACACAGGCTCCACAGATGTCTCAGGAGCTTTGTGTCTTCCCTCATCGTGAAAACCCTCCATGGGACCTCTCATAGCCAGGCTGGGGACTTCCCCGTCATGCTTCACCACTATCCGGATTCCCCAGCTGCCTCTAGGGATCTGCTCCCAGCCAAACACAACCCATCTCCCTTTTGGGGTCACAAAACCCGTTTCCTCCTTGGTCTTTGCAAAGACGAAGGGAAGGTCATGCCAAAGGCCAACTCACTCTACGATGCCGTCACCAGCTATTGTTTTTTCAGTCATTTACCCGGGCAACGAGAGCCAATAGCCACACACAGGCCTTAGTGAGTGAGTCAGTGTGGGTGACTGCAGCTGAGATTTTGTCTCTCACACCCTGCCCCCTCCTGCCTGCCCCTTCCCCTCGCCTACATGTCATGGCTAAAATTAGACAGCTCTTCTCCTCTGTGTGTAGGAATGTGTGTGTGTTTGGACGGTGCCCAGTGCTCCTTGGGGCCTGGAGCGGGACTACAGTAACACAATCATAACAAAATGTCACAGAGGCTGCAGCCAGTGTGGCAAAGGCAGCCAGCTGCCTTCCCCGATGGGTGTCTTGAAAGCTGCTCATAGAGGGTAGCCAGGCCTAAAGGCTGAGCTACCACCATTGCTGTCGTCATCATCCATCATGGAAGAATGAGCAAGTGGCCCTTGTGAATCAGTGAGAGAGAGGGGTGGGGAGGACACATGAGCGAACCCGTCCATTGCCAAAGCTGCTGAGGATTTCATTCAGCCCTCACACCACCAGAGAGGAAAGGGAGCTGGAGATACCCAGGGCAGGCAGGAGGTGTTCACCTTGGTCAGTTCTCTCTGCCCTCAAAACTGTTAGCTGATGAAGGATGGAAAGTTCTGCCTCCTTCCCTACAAAGGGTATCTACACATCCTTCAGAATTCTCTTCCCACTGCTGGAAAGAGCCAGCTGCCTCTAGCGGTCAAGCAGGTCCCAACACCGTCACAGCCCCAGGGCAGCAGCCAGGTGCAGAAGGGGCTTCAGGAACAGGCCCCAGTCCATCATTGTTAAGACTCACTTATTGGGACTGGCAGGATGTTTTATCAAAGAGAAAATTAAAAATGTGCTGTGCTGCAAGTAGTTAATTATTCAGAGCAAAGTAGCCTGATAAGAGGTATGTGCGGTCCCACCTCCAGCCAAGGAAGCTTAGCACAGAATTACAGAATGATTTGGATTGGAAGAGACTTTAAAGGGCATCTCATTGCACCCCCAATATCATAGTCAGGAACACCTCCCACTTGACCAGGTTTGTCAGAGTCCATCCAACCTGGCCTTGAACACTTCCAGGGAGGGTTCAAGCTTCCAGCTTGTCTCCAACTGCCCCATGCCCACCCTGCTCTTCCTGTCCCCTGTGGTCTATGCATAGCAGAGACTCCTGATGATACCACTTGCTGCTCCTCACAGTCACCACAATCCTATCTCCTTTCTGGGCTGGCAGGACCTAGACTGACAAATGGAAACAGCCATTTTTTCCCATGGAAACACCATGGAAGGGTGACCACAGTGGATTCCAGGTGGCCCCAAAATCCCTTTCAAGTAAATGTGACCACCAAGAGATCAGGGCATTAATTCTTCAAGTCCTTGGAGGCAGCAGGAGCAGGAAGCCTAAGAGCCCTCTCCTCAAGTTCAGTCATGCAAACCTTGCTGCCATTCTCCTCCTACTCCCGTGACTTCGTAAGCCCTCAGCCTGTTAACATGCAGACAGCTGAATGGGTTGTGATGGAGACCAGCAGCTCCCAATGCTGCTGTCACAGGTTTCAGTCTGCTGTGTTCAAGCAGAAACCACTGCCCCAGGCCAAGAGGCTCCCCAGGCCCACGCAGCCCTGAGCAAGACTTTCCATGTGAGGAGACCCTGGTCCCACGCACCTGAAACCACATCACAAGTGGCAGCCCCTGCAGTTGTCTGCAAGGGGGAGAACTGCTCAGCATCCCTGAGAAACCCAGTCCCCAGAGATCACTCTACACCACAAAGCCTGAGACAGGAAAGACACCTCCCAAGCCTTCATCATGACCCTGTGACTAAGCAAAGCACATGCTGACATGCCACACAAGTGGCATTTGTTAACTGTCCCCCTGGTAGTGATATCATGTCTAACCTTTGGTTTCACTTTTTCACCTCATGGCAGCAAGTGACTAAGTCTTTTTCTCCCACACCTCACATCAAAATTGAAGTAACTCCTTTTAACAATGTTAAATCTACTATTGGCTTTGCTGAATGTCAGCTCGTCCCACTGCAACAAATGGGAGGGCATGAGGAAAAGTTGGGGTTTTTTCTCCTCCACCCTTTTTGTTCTAAATGCCCTCAGCATATCTGGTCTTATATGCTTCCTTTTCTTCTTTCATCTTAACATCCCCACATCTGCCAGAATCACTGATGGGCTTTTTTCTCCCATCATCCTTCAGAGAGGGGAAGAAGCAATACCCATGCAGAGAGCAGCCCACTGTCCCCCTTCCTGGAACAGACCAGCACTTTAGCACATACCAGTAACACAGGGCTGCCTTGCTCTGCTTCCTGAGTTTCTCGGCTCCTCCTCTCATGCCCACAGAGACACTGGGTGCTCCAGAGACTTGCTGTGTGGGAGGAGTGACCCAGACTCCAGGTGCAGAAGTTGGGTGGCTGCCATTATGAGGCTCTTGTGGTACCAGGACACGCAAGCCTGTGCAGTGGGGAGTTGGCTGACAGCTGCCTTGCCTGGACGCTTGCCTCTGAGCATCAGCCAGCCCATGGCAGCAGCTGACCAGTTTAAACCATCAAGCTCACCAGCCACTTCAGCCACAGAAGCATAAAAAAAGCTCTATGCAGATGCTTTGCCAATCCCTTTCTTGCAGAAGGGAGGGAAGCAAAACCAGGAGCGATGAGTCAAGGCCAGCAACCCTGCAGAAGGGACATGTCACAACACCCAGCTGAAGTCAGCTGCAGGGAAAGGGCTGGAGTTGCACAGTAGAGCACCAGAGCTCTGAAGAGCGACCGTGCCCTCTGGTGTTCAACCCACGGCTGTCCGGACCTCTCTCAAACCCATTCGCCTCCTCTCTGAAGAGCACTAACTGGCCACACGGCCTCTTGCTCCCAACACCTCCAACCACAGGACTCCCAAGCAGCCCTGGGACAAGATTTTTGTGTCTACAACATCAGACAAACAAGAGACTGAGTGGCAAATTCAGTAAAGCCAAGGATGCCATGCAGAGAAACCGTGTAGCAGAAGCCAGGAGGAGCAGCAAGGGTCTTCCACTGTGGCACTCACACATGTGTAGCCAAATCCTGACCAGGCTGATGTGCTGCTCTACAAAGACCAAGGCATAGGGAGCCTTCCATTCCCAGGAATGGAACCCAGGACTTGTCCCTACCTCCACATCTCCTCAGGAGCACTTGTGAGGGAGGTAATGGCTAGTCTCAACACCATGGCTAACCTAGGAACCGGCTCCCACACAGCAGCTACATCCCAGCCATGGTGATTGTCTCCCAGGCCCTGTTTTTCCACCGTTTCTGGCAGTCATAGCCTTAATGAACTTCAGACTGTTTCAGCTAAATTTTATTATTTATTATTATTTAATTTAGTCATTTGGCTAAACCACCCTCAGTGCTGTCACCTTAGGTCTTCCAAGCATTCAGCATGCACTGGGTCTAGATGCTCATGCCCACACTGGCTAGGACATAGAGGAGGAAGAGCTCAACTGACCTTCAATCCAAACTCCAGCAAAACAGAAGCTGCCATGTTAGTCGATCAAAGTCCAGTAGCAAACTGCCCTCTAGAACAAAGACAGTGACACAGGCATAAGGCAAGCAGCCCAGCTTTCAGTGGCCTTGGTTAGTACTGACACAAGAGGGTGAAGTGGGGTGAGATGTGGGTGGGAGGGAGGAGAGCTTTTCAAAAGAAATGTTGCAGCAGCTGCTGGGACTGCGCAGCCTGTGCAAGCCAATAAAAATACCACATACTTATACACCGCTGGCCGGTGCTTTATCCTCCTGGATCCCCATCGGCTGGGCTGGCTGCCCTGGAGACAAGGGAAGACACCTTTGTGGGGCAGGTGGAGTCTAGGGACACAAAGAGAGTGGTCAGCAAGCCATGAACACACCTGGCTGCTCAGCACACAGCACTATCCTCCCCCGCCCCAGTGCCATCTCTCCACCACTTGCTCTCCCCTTGCCTTGGCACGTGCAGATCCCAAGGGCTCCAATGGCACCTGTGCCACCACCCATGCTGTCCGCCATGGAGGTCAATGCAGGCAACATGCCCATGAAGCTGGAGTCAGCAACACCATTTTTCCCTAAAGAGCCAGTCAGCAAACATGAAGCACCACACTCCTGCATGTGGGATGCTAACCCAGCCCAGTTCAGAC